AGAGTTGATTTGGGGTTCTCCTTTGCTTGTTTGGATTGGTTTTGTTTTTCCTTGTTTGCTTTTGTTTCTTGGAAGGGATTTCTGATTTTACTTAATTTTGTGATGTTGACCGCTGTGTTTTCAGAAAGGATTGTTGTTGTTATAAGCCGTCCAAGACAGAACCAGCTCATAGCTGACCCTCCAGCGGGTTTTCAGAGGCTGTAAATCTCACAGTAGATTTTTCATCTGTCTCCTGTGGAGCAACTGGTGAATTTCAGAGTGCCTGCCTCTGGGTTGGCGGGGCAACGCCTTACCACCCAGCCACCAGAGCTCCCTTGAGATGTTGACTCCTGCGGTTTCAGAAAGGATTAACTTAGAGAAAACACTGGTCACTTCGTTTCTGAGAAATGTATCAGCATTGAGAATATCTGGGAGACTCTGCTCATGGCTGTTGTTGGCCAAATCTTTTTCTTTTGCGTATTTCTTTTGTCTTGGAAGCAGACCTGCCTACCCAATATGCATTACATAGAAGCCCTATACGCTGTGAGCTTCACAATTCAAGTGGTTAAACCATTATGTGTGTACGTCTCCAAAGTTTTGCAGGCCTATGAATTATACAGTAGTGACAGTTTAACCTGAGACTTGGTGTTGACTCCATATTTTGCAAGAGTAGAACCATATTCAGTACCCATGAGCAACGTGATATCATGTGAAATCAGATAAGGCTGATTTGTAAGAGTGCTGACTAATTTACAGTGGGTCATACCTACACTTTGGAAGGTAGTCTGCAGTGAGAGACCTTCCCTGGTAAATTCTTTGGTTATTATGAATCACCAATTGGATGTCTTTAAGAGATTCTTGTTAAACTGCGCTGGCCAAAGAAACTCCTCCTTTGTAGGGAAGCATGGCATGCCAGGTGTACCTTTATAATCAGATTAATTATGCTCCATTGGATAAATGCTAGTGATAGTTCAACCAAATTTTCTCTTCAAGCCTTTTTATGAAACTGGTCATCATATTTATTTTGCATCATAACCCTTCATAGCTCTACTAATCTGCCTCCACATTTTTCTTTGATTTTCCCCCCCTTTGCTCATAAGAAGTATCTTTTACTTGATTCCACCATACTTTTCTCCCCAAGGAACACTTTCTTTTTTTAAAAAAAATTTTTTTTCAATTTTATTTTATTATTTTTTTCTTTTTTTAAAATTTTTTTAAATTTTGATTTTATTATTTTTGTGTGCGTGTACCGTCAAATCAGATCTGACTGGTACAGGAGGAGATTGTCCCTCCTTACCCGGCAGAGCATCTGGTGGATTCGAACCGTATTTTATTATTTTTGTGTGTATACTGCCAAATCAGATCTGACTGGTACAGGAGGAGATTGCCCCTCCTTCTCCAGCAGAGCATCTGGTGGATTGGAACTGCCTACCTCTGGGATTGCAGTGCAGCTTCTTGTCACTAGGCCACTGGAGCTCCCTTGGAACACTTTCTAAGATAGTAGGTCCTTAACATGTTCTGAGTCTTTCTTCTGAACTTCCTACATGGCTTGGCCCTGGAAGATCAGAGATGCAAAAATTTATTATTGAACAATATCTTTAATATCCCATACAAGTAATATCTTACTGAAGATTATGTAAAAATGGCTGGAAGAGAACATCACAGGGAATTGCAAGAAATTTAAGCTGGATTCTAAAGAGGTCATAGGGAGCTCTGCGGCCTAGTGGTTAAGGAGAAGCACTGCCAACCCAGAGGCAGGCCCTTTGAATCCACTAGCTGCTTCACAGGAGAAATACAGACAGTCTTCCATGCAATTTACACCCTCTGAAAACTCACTGAAGGGCCAGTTATGAATCCAGCTCAACAGCACTTAACAACAGCCAATGCAAAACCTGTACATAGACCAAGAAGCAGTTGTCTGAACAGAATAAGGGAACACTGCATGGTTTAAAAATTAGCAAAGATATGTGTCAGATTTGTAGCCTTTCTTCATACTTATTCATTCTGAGTAAATAAATAGGTCTTGGAGAAAGTGCAACCAGAGTGCTCTTTGGAGGCAAAGATGATAAAGTTCTGTCTCACATGCTTGGGGCATGTTGATAGGAGAGGCTATTCCTTGGAGAAGGACATCATGCTTGGAAAGGTGGAGGGTCAGCAAAGAGAGGAAGATCCTTAACCAGGTAGGTGGACACAGTGGCTGCTGCAGTGGGCTCTAATGTGTCAGGAAGGGTGAGGATGGCACAGAACAGGACAGGGCTCAGCTCTGTTGTTCACAGGGTCGCTAAGGGTCATATTCAACTCAACAGAACCTAACAACAACGTTCAGTCTGTATGCTTGGCAAATAATTTGAGAAGATGGACAGTATGAAGAACGTCATCAGGCTTGCAGGGAGACTCATCACCAGCCTGCATTACGGAGCTAACACAACCTTGCCTGCAGAAAATGAAGATGGCATTTGTTGAAGATCGAAGGTTCCAGCCTTCCATTCCAATTGCCTGTCAACATCAAGCAAACAAAAATCCTTACCAGTAGACAACATCATGATAGACAGAACAGAACAAGGATTCAGGTTAACAGTTTCAGTCAGTATCCATGGTGGCAGCAGTCAAGAAATCCAAAGAAAAACCACTGCCAAGGATTGTACCAAAGTGATAAAGAGCATGGATGTCAGGTTAAAGAATAAGGTGCACTTGACCCAACCCATGCTATTTCCATTTGCTGCCAATGCATCTGAAAGTTGGACCATGATACTTAACCTTGCAGGGGAAATTCCATGATCATGAAGGTGGTTTTCCCAGGGCAAGGCTTATCCATTGCACTCCGGATGTGCTGACCCCTGTGATTTCCCCAAATGTGGGAGGCTCGACTGCATAATTTGTGGTAGTGGGGGACTGTGTTCACATTATCCGATGGGCGGCAGGGGGAAAGGTGGATAATGAATAAGAAAGCCTGGAGAATTGATGCCTTTCAATTCTGGTTTTAATGAAGAGTATTGGATATACCATCAACTACTAAAAGAACCAGCAAATCTGTCTTGGAGGAACTGTAACCAGAGTACTCCATAGAGGTAAAAATGGTGATAACATGCTTTCTGCATGTTATCAGGAAGGGCTAGTCCTTGGCAAAAGACATCATGCTGGGAAAGGTGGAAGGTTGGAGAAAGATAGGAAGACTCCAGGCAAGATGGGTTGACCAGGCAAGATGAGCTGACAATAACTGTGACCTTAGGCTTAAGCCTGGCTGAGATTGTGAGGCTGGTGCAGATCAGTCAGGGTTTAGATCTGATAATCTTAGGGTTGCTGTGAGACTTAGTCAACTCAACAGCACTTAAAACAAGATAATTTTTTAAATTCTAATTTAAAGCAATATACAGTTTTAAAATTCACATGTCCAGTATTCCATTGTATAAAGGTTTTCCTGATTTGCTTAGCCATTCCAACAGTGATTCGTATGTTTTACTGTTGTAGGTAATGCTAGATTGGACATTCTTGGGCAGTCATATTTATGAACATTAGCAATCGTTTCTGTAAGATAGAGCTTTAAAAGTCAAATTTATTTACTTATTGAAAAGATTCAGCAACAATTGAGTCAGAGCCAAGTTGTAGCTGAACCTCCAGCAGGTTTCCAGAGGCTATAAACTGCACAAGAGAAGATTGATCATTTTTCTCCTGTGGAGCAGCCGGTGGCTTCAACCTGCCGGCCTCTGGATTGGCAGTGCAACTCCTTACCCACTAAGCCATTAGAACTCCCTCCTATGAGATTAGGTACAGATAAAATTATGCTCTCTACTGCCAAGAATTGTCCTCTGGAATGGTTGAACAAATTTGTGAAACTTGACATATCAAGAAATTGCATGTTTCACACTCAACAAATAAAGACATGGGCCAGACTACTAAGAGTCCTGAAATAAAATTATATTCTGTCTTTCCCACTAGCTTGCTACTTCATCTGAGACAAGGAGACTATCTTTCTGAGCATTAATTGAGCCCTCATTGTATGCTAGATAAGCCTCAGAGATCTAAAAGGCAGGGAAAAAATGCAAAGAAGGTAAGGTCCCGGCCCATAAATACCTCCCAGCCTGGTAGAGGAGCCCACCATCTTTTTTGTGTCTTTTACTACAACAGCTAGAATATAGTAAATCATACCATAAATAATACATGATTAGTATAGAACTGAAGTGGTTCTCTTTGGAGACTTCTCAATTTCCCCAGGAGTATTTGGGAATTTCTGTTTTAGACATTGCCTGTGGGAAGAAGGCATTTTTGCCTTAAGTCTGTACTGGTGACTGGTATCTGATTGAAGCTTTAATAAACTTACCATTTCTTCTCCTGTTCTCTGAATATACACTTTACAGAGCTGGAAGGAGGGTGAGCCACTGGGAGCTTTACCTTTAAGCATTGTTAAAGGCTACCTCACATTTGCACTTAGGTCACGAAGCTTCTTTAACTTTAGCGTGAACCGCAGTCATTGAGAAGGTGGAGCAGGGGATGCTGGGACATGAGGGCCGAGCCTTGGGCCCTAGCATGCTATGTTTAGGATGCTCAGCCTTCTTGAACTAATCCCACTCAGTTCTGAGCCCCCTTTATTTCTGTGTCTCTTCAGCACTTACGTGTTCTGTTTGCACTGTATTAATTTGCACTTGTTTGCATGTTGCTTTGAAAGCCTTCTCCATTTCACATATGTATTGTTTTGTGTCCCTAACTAAAATTTGAGCTTGATAAAGGCAGAAACCACGTCTTTGGTGTCTTTTGTATTTTCCATAGCACCTTGTACTGTGCTCAGCAGAGAGTGGGCGTACAGTATATGTTGTGGAATGCCGTCCTGAGTGATCCCTCCCTGGCTGGGCCTAAGATTAAATTCCCTGAAATGGAACAGTCCTAACCAACCCAGGACAGGTATTCTCCATCCGGCATGTCGGTTGCTCCTTTCAAGGTGCTCTTTGAAGTGGCTTCCTTCCACATCTCTCCACCCACAGCGTGGGACCTGCCACTGATGATATATGCTTACTGATGTCTTCTAGGCGAGTCTGCGGACACCAGAACTGACCTGGGAGCGAGTGAGATCCCAAGTTGACCATGTAATATGGCCAGATGGCAAGAGGATAGTGCTGCTGGCAGAGGTAAGACCTGGGGCAGGCAGGGCAAAACTCAGCCCCCGGGGGCAGCTCTCCTCCTCCTCCTCCTCCTGCTCTCTCAGACTTCCCACTCCTCCTAAGCGCGAGTTTAAATACTTCACCAATGGATTTTACTTCTAATTGCAAGGAGTCTTTTCATTCAGCAATTAAGAAACTATTTTGGTTTCTCCTCTCTTAGCCAATTATCCTGTCTCTCCATGTCACTCTACAGTTTGAGTCAGATAATGACTGTACTGTAGACGGAATGAACAGATAGAACCAGTGTCACGTTGAGTGATGCTTACAAAAAGATAATGTCATCTGGGGGACGGTTTAATCAGGAAGCACCGAGTGGGTCTTCCTGATTGTAAGGGTCTTAGGTCGGCTCTGGAAAAGCTCTTTACTGATTGAATGCCTGGATCTGAAAGTCCATTTCCTGATGTGTGGGAGGTTCCCTTAGCTGCTGCTTCGTTGGTGTTTTCCATCGTCTTCCTCAGGTTCAGGGTTTCTGGTTTTGGTTTTTAACTTTTTGTTATTTGCATGGAAGTGTACAGAGCAGATTGGTATTCCGATCAACCCGTACTTACATAGTTTGTTTTATGACATTGATTACAATCCTCTCGTTATTATCTGAATTCCTCCCTCTGTCTCCCTTTGGGAGAATAAAGAATGGAAACGCGATCCATGGGGATAAAGAAGGAAGTATGCCGACTGACAGTTCTGGCCCGAGCGTCTCCCTGGTATTATGTCCATCCTTTAGGCCTGTGGGTCAGCTGAAAGTTGTGCTGTCAGGTTCAGGTTCATTCTTATTCTTGACCTTCATTCCATTCATGTCTGTGTTTGATCATTTTTCCTTTCCTGGAATCTCCTCTTTTCTAGTCTGGATTCTTAACAGCTATTATCATGCCTCCAGTGATGCTTTTCCTCTCTAGGGACAGATACCAAAATGCAAGGAAAGTAATAGTTTTTCTTTAATTTTCATTTTTCAATCACCTACTCTTTCTTTCTTCTCTTGTTAATCAAAGAAGCGAAGCATGAAAATGGAAAGGATCGCTGTCTTTCCCTCTCTCTCGTTGCCGTCCAGTCAGCCCTGGCTCACAGCGGACCTAGCAGGTCTCCAGGGCTGTTAAGGGCTTGGGAGCAGATGGCTCAGCATACTTCTGTTGGACCTGCTGGTGGCTTAAACCCCTCGAGAGGCGTGGCCTCTGGGCTGCACTGGGCTGCAGCACCGCTTCCCGGGACCGCACACCAGAGCTCTTTAGCTGGGAGCCCAGACATTTTTATTTGCTATCCTTAGTTTTCACCTTTTCCTCACCTGATCTTGCCTTCTCAAAAAAAACTGGAGAACATCTATAAAGGACCTTAATTCCTCTTCAGAGTGTGGACGTGGAGGAGTTAAGCAGGTTGTTAAATATGCATCTAAAGCTTTGATGGCCACTTGATGCCTTTTTCCTGATTGTCCTGGGAAGTCACACCTAATAAAGTTGGTGACCAGAGAAGGCCTCACAATTATTCTTCACTATCATTAAGCAACAACCAATGAAAAGGTGACCAAGCCTTCTTGGAAACAAAGTAGAAAGGATAGCATTGAGGGAGGCTTGTAGCTCTTCCACTTTCTGAATCACCCATTCGGATACAAGACTGCCCTTGAGTGCCAGAGAGCTGACTGAGCGAGAGCTCCCTCATCATGACCATGACCGCTTCCCAAGTCCCACCTGGAGAGATGGCCCTCTCAAGTCTGCATTTACTGAGGTGCTGGGTGGAACAATTCCAGAATGTCTTGTGGTTTTGTTTAAATGGTGATCAGTTCAGCCTTGTTTATGAGCCCCTGCTTTTGGCCTGCACGGTCAGGTGGGGGCAGTGGGAGGTGGCCACGGGCTCTCCTCCCTCCTCACAGACCACACCCACTTCGTCCTAACGTGTTTGTGTCTGAACCCCTGCCCCCAGGGCCGCCTCCTGAACCTCAGCTGCTCTACAGTGCCTACCTTCGTGCTGTCCATCACGGCCACCACTCAGGTGAGGCTCCAGAGTGGGAAGCAGTGGGCCTGGAGGGCGCCGTCCACCCGTCAGGGTCTCCCCTGCTCCGGGGCGGGTGGTCAGCATCCATTCTCTACTTTTCCAGGCTCTCGCCTTGATTGAGCTCTACAATGCCCCTGAGGGTCGCTATAAGCAGGATGTCTACCTGTTGCCCAAGAAAATGGGTGAGCATGCGTTTCTGTCCCGTCCTTCCCAAGCAGTCCAGAATCAGAGGCCAGAAAACATTTGGAGGCATTACACTCCTAATGGATTTAATTAAAAGCTTGTTACCTTGTCAAAGCAGGAGCTAGGACTCCAGTTCCTTCCCAGGGCACTCACTGCATTTTCTACCTGGGACACCCGAGTATAGTCGTGATATTTCACTCTGATTTCATCTACCAGTTTAAGAATTTTAAGGATTTTCTCAAAGTATCTTGTATGCAGGAATCTTAAAGGGGAAAAGTAGCCCACCCCAGAAAGAGGAATCAATTGTGGAATCTGATTTGCGCCAACTTTGGACGTGTTGTGAGGAGAGACCGGTCCTTGGAGAGGGACATCATGCTTGGGAGGGTGGAGGGACAGCGCAGGAGAGGAAGACCCTCTATGAGGCGGATTGATTCAGTGACTGGGATAATTGGGATGGGAGTGTCAGAGACGGTGCGATTGGCACAGGACAGAGCTGAGTTTAGGGCTGTTGTACATAGGGTCGCTATGAGTCGCAGGCGACTCGACGGCACATAACAACAGCAACAACAACAAATAATTCCTACAAGAATGTTCTCAGATCCAGAGAGCCTTTGCATACTACAGCTTCTAACCACAAGGCCACTGTTTGAGGCCTAGGAGAGGCTCTGAATAGCTTCTGCTAAGTGTTTAGTTATGTGGGTGTTTTCATATAGGAGAAACATTAAACTGTCTTACATTTTTAAAGAACCAATCTCAAGCACCTGAACCAATGGAATGTGTTTCTAAACGCCAAGGCGACAGTCAGGGACTAAATCAGCTCCTCCTTTTGTTCTGCTTTATGCTTAGCACCTGTTAGGAAGTCGATGCATTTCTCCCTCCATAGACACTTTGGAAGGATGTCCGAGAAACAGAGCAGCAGTCCACATTCTAAATGAAAGCATAGTGAAGTCAGGAGAGGGTCAAACAAGTGTACAGGACGTGAGATGAAGGTGGGCTAAGTTACATGTATTCAGAGGTTAGTGGTGGCTAACACCTACTAAGTCGGCAGTTCAGACTCGGGCCGGAAGTGGCAGCGCGCTGCCGTGGAGATGTGGGAAATCCTGTAAGGTCCACAGTTCAGACTCAGGGGCGGGAAGTGGGAGCCCAGTTCAGACTCAGGGGAGGGAAGTGGCAGCCCGCTGCTGTGGCAGTAGTAGCCTTGGAAGTCCTTGCTGGGCAGCTCTGCTCTGTCCAGTGGGATCTCTGTGAGTCAGAATCAACTGTATGGCGGTGAGTTCGTGTTTAACAGTTTTCAGAAAACAGAAACTCATAAGAACTAAGAACATTCAGAGCAGAGCAAACAATGTGGCATCATTATTAGTTATTTCTTCCAGATTTTCTGAAGTTTTCCAGTGACCCAAGTGTGACGCGTTCAAGGCAGAAAATGTTTTAATTTCCCATTTTCTAGTCTGCTCCCCATCCCATCCTCTTTATTTGAGCCCCCAATTACTGTCACTTCTCTTTAACTCTCCTCCACTTTTCTGAGGAGAAAGAGAAGTTCATGACTGGAATAGCTAGTAAGGAAGAAGTGTTACAGCACGGAAAAAACCCTAGGTTTGAAGTAATGGCAACCATTCCTTAGAATTGAGGGCCAGTGTGCAAAACTTGATCATTTTCTGCTCAGCCCCAGGAACTAGAAAGTGTCTCCCAACTTTAAAGGCTGAAGGGGAGCAGCCGTCCAGGAGGCATGAATGCTCAGATAGGGATCCTGTGGTCTCTTCCAGACGAGTATGTTGCAAGCCTACACCTGCCGACCTTCGATGCCCACCTGACAGAGCTGACCGATGAGCAGGCCAAGTATCTGGGGCTCAACAAAAATGGGCCGTTCAAGCCTAATTACTACAGGTGCCTTGGACTCCTCAGGAAACGGGTGGTGGGATGACTCTGGGGCGGGCTTGGATTTTGAAGCACTTCCTGTATATTGGGGTTGGTCCCTGCACTTATCACCGCATTCATGGGATCTCAGAACACTAGACCTAGCCCCTCACCATCACCCCTAAAAGACTTGTACACGCCTGCTCCAGTCACTACAGAGTGTCCCTCTTCCAGAAATATCTTCGATTTAATCATCTCGCTGTGATGCTTCTCTCTTTATGGAGAAATGCTGGTCTGTTTACGTAACAGGTAAAAAAAAAAAAGAGTACCAGTTCTCTAACCTTCCTAGACTCTCCAGAAAAGAATGTGCTTGCTTGCTTCCAGGTTGTCCCTTTAAACGGACTCCTCCTGGCCCCAGATCCCCACAATCCGATAGAGTCACAGTCTCATCTTTCTTTTTCCATCTAGGTATTAAGTTCCTGTAACGCAAGCCTCAAGTTTTAAGGAATAGCACTCCAAGTCTTTTCTCCACTACTATCCAGGAAAGAACCCAGCAAGCTGCTTCTCCAGCCAGAGCTGCCCGTCGTGCTCACCCTGTAGATCATATGTTAGGTTATTTATTTATTAAAATCTAGACTCCTGTGCCTGCAGCCTTAGCCCAGAGTGTGGTTACTGCCCCAAGGGCCGAGAGCCACAGAGGACAGGCTGAGGAAGGAGAGAAACGGGCTGACCAGTCCCGGTGCACCTTTCGCATCATCCCCCATGGATGTGAAGCCTCAGCCAGGGCCCCTTTTCTCTTGTCCAGGATCAGGAGGTAGTCCGGGGCTTCCAGACTCCTTGTTCTCTGGAGTTCCCTGGAATGCATTTTCAGCAGCTGCCTTTCTCAGCACTGGCTCTTCCCCAGGTGAGGCCTTTTGAAAAACCACTGAATGAACATGTCCTAGGCTGCTGGCCTCGACCGTCATTCTGCTATCACTGCCTTCGTATAAAATAGCTGGTAGGAAGGAGTGTTGTGGCTTTAGTAATCTACAGCAAGAGCTCAGCTGTGTCTGTGCCTACTCGAAGTTTCCTTCTCTAACCAGGACTCTTCTCTTGCACATTTGTGTCCATTCTAATACTTTCTGATACTGCGAGGACTGTGTCCTCTGGGGTTTGTCCGCCATTAGTTTTGCCATCATTTTAACCCAACCAAACTCTGCTCAGGAAGTGAGGGCCAGTTCCACTGGGGCCTGTGGTTTTACTTCCGTGTCATCTAACTGGGTAGTTTTCCAGGAGGCCCCTCTAGTCTGGTACCATCCCAGAAAAGGAGGACTTACTGTAAAACACTGCTTCCTGAAACTCCCTCTTACTGCCTAAACTACTGAAAATTCTGAAACTGGTAGAGAAAAAGATACATTCCAAAGGATTTGATAATTCAGAGCTTCAGAGATAGGCCTGTCCTTCAAGCTCATAATTTGACATACCTGCTTTCTAAAGAGAAGCATCTTCTCCAGGAGAATTCTGGCTAAAGCTCTTCAGAGATGACCCTGTGCACTGTGTCCACATGATAGTTTGAACCCCATCAGATATTTATCCCCTTGGCCATTGGCACTGATGAAACCAAGATCTGATGTCTCTGCGATCTGACCTGAATTCTTTATTCTCTAATGTGGTATCTTTTTGCGTTCTAGCCTATCTAGGGAGTCTGTATTTCAGAACCACTTCACCAATACAGAGAATGTAGTGATAGGAGCAGTCCGTGATGCTATGTCCTACCCACGGATAGGATTCTCTTTTGAGACTGTCCTGCTGGTCTTTAAGGTTCCACTAGGACAAGGTTGGTTCTCAGAGTTATTAAAGTCTGGAGTGGCCCTAGGAATTTTGCAGTAAATAAGTCCCCTCATTGTCTTGTCAACTATATTTAAACTCTTAAGGATTATTTTCCCATTTTTTTAACCTATCTTGGGCTGCCTCAAGACCAAAGTGATTCCAGGAATACCAGGCCACCCTGGGTCACTATAGCCTTCACATACTGTCTCCCCTTCCCCAAAGTCTGCCCTCTCCAACTTCCCCTGGTCTTTACATGTACCCTCAGGGCTAGTCTGGAAGTACCCTTACCTTCAGGGGTAGAAAGGTAAAACTTGGACCTTGGTTAAGAGGCTGTTTGCCTCATTGAATATACAGACTCATCCAGTAATGTGGTTCTTTGAAGTCCATATCTCTGTAAAGAGGGCGACAAATGCTAAAAAAAACAAACAAACCAAAAAAACAGCGACTGAGTCACTTAGTTCTTCTTTTTGCCTACCTAGTTATGATTTTTATGTCCATTGGATGCTTTTAACAAAAGATTCCAATCTTTTAGTCCTCATCTTCTATCGAGAGCAGATTCCATTATACTGAAATCTTGACTACTTTGTTCTCAGGCCAAAATCTCACCCCGTTGTTTCTCAGCAAAGCCTGGCTCTCTCTGAACTCATTGGAGACTTGGGGAGGACATTGTCCTGCTTCTGGAAACAGAAAGGGAGCTGCCCTGAGTTTCTAGGTTAGCTTGTACTGTTGCTGCCCTTGGTGAAGTATTTGCTTCTGAGTTTCAGAAGATCTCTCTGGGGACCCAAGTCTTTGAAAAGGCCTTCGAGTATTTGAGTTTTTACCAGAGTGTTGGAATCTGGTTTTTACTCCCCCAGCCCTTGGAATCAGAGCAAATGTGTCCGTGCCTCCAGTCTCTCCCCAAAGATCATCCTGGGTAGCTGGAAGCCGGGGAAAGAGGGCTCATCACCCCTGTCTTTTTGTGGGTCACCCTGGCCTGTAGGGGCTGCTTACTATTTTCTCTACAATGAATTTGTGTTGCTTTTCAAAGTTTGTTTTGTTTAATTTTTAACCTTATTGTTAACTGTTTTCTTTCTCTCATTTTAAAAAACGAAAAAGGTATATGATGTCAATGCCCTCTGCCTTCCCACCGCCATGTCCTGCCTTCCCATTTGAGCACGGCTCTCTGTGGCCACATACTCCTGCAAAGCTTTTTTGCTGCTTGACTTTTCTCTGAACAGATCTAAAATTGCTGCTCCTGTGGTTTTCTCAGAATTAACTTGGTCATGGTTTTAAAAAAGAAATCAAAATGCATTGTTGCATTAAGCTTTTTTAATAAAGGAAAATTACAGAAAGAAAATAGGCAACACCAGCAAATTATATATGGACAAGTTCTGAATTATATATACATATATATTATATATATCAAAAAATTAATCATCTAGTTCTCATTCTCATCTTAATGAAAGAAAGCAAAGCCTCTGAGAAGTGCCGATTCTGAGAGGCTCTTGGAAATCTTTATGTCTGAGTGATTGTATTAGATCAGCAATAATGACCATGTAATCTCAAAAGATAAATAAAATATTCCTAAAATGAATTCTTGTCTTAAGTGTATTCCTTGCTTCTGTGAACTAGGAATTTAGCAGAGATGAAAGAAGTCTCCTTGAAAGAGAGCCAGCTGTGGGGCAGACAAGGATGGAAAAAGCTTCAGTCGCCCAAAGGAAGCATGTCTGATTGCCCCCGGCCCCGAGATACTGTTTCATGGCTGGAGCAGGAGTTCGCTGATCAATGTCTTGTCCACCTGTCCTGGCTGTGGGCTGAAAGGATCTGCTTTCTCAGAACCACCATACTGTTGATGGCTGTAGGCCTGTTGTTGTTGGGGTTTTTTTTTAATTCTTTTTTATTATTATTATATTATTTTTACGTGTACCGTCAAATCAAATTTGACTGGTACAGGAGGAGATTGCCCGCTCCTTCTCCAGCAGAGCATCTGGTGGATTTGAACCACGTACCTCTGTGATTGCAGTGCAGTGTCTTGCCACTAGGCCACCAGAGCTCCCTTAATTCTTTTTTCTTTTTTATTATTTTGTGTGTGTGTGCCATCAAATCAGATCTGACAGAACTGTTGTTATGTGCCTTTGAGTCGCCTTTGAGACTCATAACGACCCTATGTACAGAAGCTCTGAAGCCTGCCCTGTCCTGGCCAGTCTCTCTGACTCCAACACACCTACCCCCAATGCCCCAGTTACTGTATCAATCCATCTCATCCAGGGTCTTCCTCTCCTGTGTTGTCCCTCTACCCTTCTAAGCATGATATACTTCTTCAAGGTCCAGTCCCTCCTGGCCACCTGCCCAAAGTATATGGGACAGAGCTTCAAAATCCTAGCCTCCATGGAGAAACTTGGTTTCACCCTCTCCAAGACAGACCTCTTTGTTTTCTTGATGGTCCATGATAGATTCAAGACCCTCCCCTAGCACCACAACTCAAAGGTATCAATAGTTCTTCTGTCATCCTTAGTCATTGTCCAGCTCTCTGATACATAGCAAGTAGTTGTGAAGACCCTGGCCTGGATCAGGTGCACCTTAGTCTCTAGACTAACATCATTGCGTCTCTCAGTACTCTGGAGAAGTTCCTGACAGCAGATTTTCCCAATGCAATTTGTCTTTTGATTTCCTGACTGCTGGTACCAAGAGTGGTGTTGATTGCGGAGCTGAGCAAGCTGTAATTGATAATCTCAATCTTTTCTCCCATCTATCATGGTGGTGCCAGTTGGCCCAGTGATGAGAATCTATGTCTTCTTGATGTTGAGCTTCAATCTATATTGAAGACTACGGTCTTTGGTCTTCTGCAGCAAGCACTTCAGGACTTCCTCAGTTTCAGAAAGCAAGGTTGTGTCATCTGCATAACAGGTTGTTGATGAGTCTTTCTCCAGTCCTGATACCACATTCCTCCTTATAAAGCCCAGCCTCAAAAATTATTTGTTCTGCATATAGATTGGCAAAGTATGGAGACAGGACGCATTCCTGATGCATTCCTTTCTTGATTTTAAACCATGCAGTATTTTCTTTCTCTGCTCTGAAGACTGCTTCCTGGTCTGAGTATAGATTTCACATAAACACAATCAAGTGTTCTGGGATTCCCATTCTCCTCAAGGTTAACCACAATGTGTTGTGATCCGCATAGTCAAATGCCTTTGCATAGTGAATAAAACACAGAGAGTAGGCTTTGGACAGAGATACTAAGGTCTGACTCTTTCATACCCCATTCCTTTTGTACACTGCCCTAAACTGGAGACAAAAGCCAGTATTCTCAAAGCTTGCACCTAGCGGATCCTTAGACCTGGGACCTGACAAGACATAAAAGGAAGAAGGAACTGATCTGGTTGCCTGCCTGCATCAGAACCCAGAAGATAAACCTAGCCATTGTTCATGTACTCCAGTTAACAACCTCAACAGGTTCTGTATGTTGTATGCAAGATGCTTATTTATCTGTATCCCTCGTTTCCCTGTCAGACTCTCTGCCACTTTTGACTGCTTCTTGACCTAAGTTAGGGACTTGGAGGTGGGACTGTGTGCACCCTTGGTCATGGCTCAGAGCTGGGACCGAGCCAGAGGATACAGCAGCTAACAGTGAAGCCGATGGGACAACATTGGCTGCTCTTCTGTGAAGGATGGAATCTTGGTTCCAGTTTCAGACTCTCAGGGTCAGCTCAGGATGCTCACTGCTGTACAAGCTCTCCACCTCAGGGCTGTGGAAGAACGTGGGCTTTGAATCAAGCTAACTTGGGTTTGAAACAGTAATTTGACCAAAGTACATGATCACTCAGAGCCTCGTTTCCCTTGCTTGCATCCTGGAGAATGCTTATCTCTTAGAATAAGGATTTAATGACCTGACATCTAAAAATGTCACAGAGTCTGACATACCTCAGATAGTGCATCGACAATCAATCCCTCGAGTCTCGAGTTCTACAGCCTCCACTACCTCATTGCAGCCACATGGGCCCTCTTTGCTCACTCTTCTCCATTATCCTCACTTGCCAGATAGCCTCCCTAACCAGGTCCTTTAATCCTGGCACCTTATCTGTAAGCTTTCTCAGTGCTAAATGCAGTGTATTGTAATCAAGTCTCTGACCTCTGTGGATTACAGGGTTCCATGAGGGAAGAGGGTATGTTTGGGCCTTGTGATGATATTTATAACCCTCTGCAAGCTGGCTCAGAATACCTGAGTTTGGGAATCAGAGGATATCAGTAGTGCAGGCTCAAAACAAAAAATATCAAAGCCATTGCTATCAAGTGAGTTCCAACTCGGTGACCATATTGGACAGAGCAGAACCACCCCATTGGATTTCTAAGCTTATAAATATGGAAACAGGCTGCTACATTTTTCTTCTATTTTTGAAGCAGCTAGTGGGTTTGAGCCACCAGCTTTTTAGATGGCACCTGGGAAGCTTACCCTCTGTCCCTGGGGTTCCTTCCTGTTTGTAGTACCTCTAAGATAAGTGACACTGATGGCTGCTACTCTTGGTATATAAATATACCAAAAAAGGAGGATGTGTCCCAATTCCATGGCCTAGAGTTTCAGTGCTTTTACTCTATGGTTTCTTGTTACTTTTCCCAAAACTTGTTTCCAGAAGCTTTCCACCTGAAAAGCTCTGAAACTCTAGGCTTCATTATAAGCAGAGTTCCTGTAGGGAGTGGAACAGGTAATGGAGCAAGTTCTCTTTGTTGGTTCTTTGCATCCATACAACTACTTTTTCCAAAATCTCCAGAAGGGAAGCCAGATGCAGCTCAAGATTCAGCAGTTGACTCTAAGGCCAGAGGGGACCTCACTTGCAGTTGAAGTTTCATCGTTTGCCCTATGAGTAGGCAGGAGACAGAGCAAAGCCTCCAAACACATCTGCCCTGTTACTTGTCCAGGGTTCCTGTGTTGACCACGTTCACACATAGTGAGATGTTCCAGGCCTGTCAGTGCTACTGTTGCTGCTGGGAAGAGAAGTTCTGAGCAAGGAGAGGGCAGAATAATTCATTCTGAAGAAGCCCCCTTGGTCGTGCTGTGGCGGCTTCACCACACTGAAGCAGCAAAGAGCTAAGGTGTGGGTTGTGAATTTTATTACAGAGCGTGATTGTCTAAGACTTTAACAAATTATACTCCAAAAAAATTTCCAAAATAAAATTGCTTATAAGGCCTTTTTTTGAAAATTCAAACCAATTTGATTCTACTAAACCTCTGGGCCTCTAGTGCAAAGATTTGGGGTCCCTCCTGGGGGGTCACTTGGCAATGTCTGGAGACATTTCTGGCTGTCACACGGGAGCGTGCTGCTTACATCCACTCAACAGGAACCAGGGATGCTGCCAAACATCCTACAGTATAGAACTAGCCCTCCTAACGCAGAGTTAACCAGCCTAAAATGTCAATAGTACAGAAGTTGAGAAACCATATGTTAAACGTGTATAAATGAGGCATACAAAAATGAACAAGACTTGGTCTTACTTTCTGAGTTTATATATTCAGGTTTGTGGGGGTGACAGAGGAGGGGGGAATGAGAAAAGAAAAAGTGGGTGGGTACAGTAAGGAGATGTTAGGGTGCAGGGAAAGAAAAGAACACAAATAGCTGCCTTCTCTCAACTATGCTTTGATCTGTCCCCCACAGACTAGCAGAGGGAAGAGTAGCAGGGAGATACTATTAAGAATGGGAGTTGTCCTCAGGATACAAGAAGAAAGAGTGTGTGTGTGTGTGTGTGTGTGTGTGTGTGTGTGTGTGCGCGCGCGCGCGCGCCTTACCCCTGGTATCTGCACACATGCCCAAAGAAAACTAACATGGTAAGGAGTTGCACTGCCAACCTAAAGACACACAGTTCAAATCCAATAGCAGTTCTACCAGAAAAAGATGGTCGATCTTATCCTGTGTGATTCACAGCCTCCAAAAACCTGCTGGAGGGTCAGCTAGGGGTTGATTCCAACTTGGCGGCAATGAGCAGAGTTGCTTTGAGGTAAAGGAGCAGATTTTAGATCCAGGCAGATGTGGCTTGACACCAACCCAGCCTGAGTGGGTTACGATGAGTCAAAGGAAGACTTTCTGGAGGAGGCAGCGGCAATGCCTAAATAGAACCGTTATGGAAGGAGTCAGCCAAGAGGAAGTTCCTTCAAGCAACAAGAGCATCATACCAAAAAAAACATGAGACAGCACGATACTTTGGGAGCTTCCAGGAGTGATTGCCCTCTGTGAGTCCTGTTTCCCTCAACAGTAATGTTAGATCACAGAAAACCACCCATTAGCGGTGTGCTGTGATACCTGGCAAGTGCCTGGTGTCTTGCCTAGCACAGAGTATACTCTCACCCTCTTCCTAGCTGGGATAGCAACTAGGTATCTCCATTTCCCCTAGGGTTGGCTTAGGGGCTTCTATGACCAGTCATCTTGTTATGAACTATCTAGTCGAGACCACCTCATAGCTGACCCACCAGCAGGGTTTCAGAGGCGGTAAATTGCACAGGAGGAGATTGCCCATTTTTCTACTGGCTGAGCAACTGTTGGATTTGAACTGTGTGCCTTTGGATGGGCAGTGCAACTCCTTATCATTAAGCCACCAGAACTCTGTTGTCTTTTCCATCACTTCCTATGCATCTGAGAGCTGGATAATGAGTAAGGATGACAGAAAAATTGATGCCTTTGAGTTTGGTGTTGGAGAATACTATTCCATGGGCTGCCAGAGGGATGAACAGCTATGTCTTGGAGAAAGTTAAGCTGGAATGCTACCTGGAGGCAAGGATGAGGAAGCTCAGTCTCATACTTGGAGCATGTTGCTAGGAGAAGGTATTCCTTGGAAAGGGACATCGTGCTTGGAAAGACAGAGGGTCAGCAAAAGAGGAGGACCCTGACTGAATGGGTTGACATCGTGACGACAGCACTGGGCTCAATATGTGTGTCAGAGATGTTGAGGATGGCACAGGATAGATCAAAGTTCAGGTCTGTTGTTCGTAGAGTCGCTAGGAGTTGGACCTCACAACAGGACCATCCTAGGACGCTCTGGTCGCCCGGTGGGAAGGAGCTTCGCTGCCAACCTAAAGGCACGTGGTTCAAATCCACCAGCTGCTGTGAGAGATAAAGATGGGCGGTCTCCTCCCGGGTGAATTACTGCGTCTGAAAACCCGCGGGAGGATCTGCTGAGTCGTTTCTGACTTGACGGCAATGAGTTTGAGTTTTTTTGATGACCAATTTTGGCTGCCCTAGATACTCAGTTGTAAGCTGACTTTTAGGTAAAGATGAGCAGACCACACAGCCTCATTTGCCCCACTCCTCTTCTAGCATCGAGCCCTCAGGAAGAAGGAAAGGCAGGAAAAGACTGGGGAGCAGTGGGGGGCTGTTAGCTCCCTCTTGTTCACATTTAACCCTTCACTCAGTGAAGGCAAAGCTAATAGCTGGCCGGGAGCAGCCTTGAGAGGCATGCAGCAATTTCCGTGAACTAACACACCACCCGAGCCGCAGTCCTGTGTCTCTCAGCCAAGCCCTCGTTCCTGGGGAGGGGAGTGATGCACCCTGTCCTGTGCGGTCCCCGGCCACTCGCTGCTGCCATGTCTCCTCCGAGACCAAGCGGGGTTTGGAACGCGTGCAGGAGACGGCACTTGGGAGGCGGGGTTCTATGGAAATGGAAAAGCAGACTGCAGCGGAGCAGGAGGAGGAGACTAGAGTCCCCCGAGGAGGAGACGAGACGCTGAGCGATAACCTGCAGGAGCTCAAGGCCCTGGATCCGGGAGGCGGAGCGGGAGCCACCCGGGGGGCTCGCGGCTCCAGCGACGCCGCAGAATCCCTTGAATGAGCCCCCACCGCCTCCCGGACGCAAACAGCCAATCGCGGGGCGGGGCGGGGCCCCGGGGCGCAGGCTCAGCCAATAGCGGAGAGGGGCGGGGCATCGGGTCGCGGCCTCGGCCAATCGCGGCGGAGGGGCGGTGCCGGGCGCGCGGCGGGCGTGCAGCCGGGGTGTCCCGGGCAGAGCGCGGCGGGCGCGGAGCGGAGCCGCATGGAGGAGCCCGCGGCGTCCGGGGCCGGGAGCCCGCCTGGAAACGGCAACGGCGGCAAAGGGAAGCAGGCGGCGGCCAAGGGCCAGGAGGCGTTCAGGAGCCAGCGGCGCGAGTCGGAGGTGAGGACCCCGCCGCGGGCGGGAAGCGGTGCCGAGGGGATTCTGCCCTCCCCCTCCCCCGCCCGGGCCCCCGGCTTTCCAGACCCCGAGACCCCGGTCCCTGACACCCCGGCTTCCCGCCTCGAGATCCCCGCGCTTCCGGCTCGGAGATCCCGAGTCACTGGCCTCCCGCCCTGAGACCCCGGCACCCCAGGGCCCTTCCCCACCGACCCCTTCCCCTAAACTCCCGTGTCCGGGCCCCCAACCCTCGAGCTCCCGGTGTCCGGGCCCCGCCCCGGGTCCCTGGCAGGGCACCGGTGGGGTCTCGGGGTACTGACTCGGCTCTGCGCCCGGTGCCGCCCGTCCCGCTCCGGGGGCTCCCCCACTCCGGGGGCTCCCCCACTCCGGCCTCCCGTGGGGCGCACCGAGATGCAGCACCGTCGCTTGAAGGGGACACCCTGTTCTCCCGACCAGGGGCGGGGAGGCCAGAGCTCAGCCACTGCATAGAGGGGTCTATTGAGGGGCGGCTGCCCCCCATTTCCAAGCCTGCCGCAGGCCCCGTGGTCCAGGTTTGCAGGATGACTCCGGCTTTTCCCTCTGTGCCCTTTAGGGGTGCTGTCCACCTGGAAGGATCCCCACCTGCAAGGGTTAAAGGGATCTATAGGGAAGTGGACTCTAGGGATGGTAGGGGTCAGATTTCAGGGTAACTGTGCCAGAGGCAAACCCAGACAGAAGATTGGGTACCATCGTCTCTCCTGAAAAGAAATCTAACTAGAAAAATAAAAGGATTGAATTATTAAATCACCTCTCCCATCCAGCCCCCCCCCCAAAAAACCCAAAATCCACAGTCTGAGAGTCCATTCGAACTCACAGTGACCCTCCTCCTGCTTCCAGGACTGTCTTTCTTAAGCAGCCAACTGTCCATCTTGCTCCCAAAAGCCCTGGTGATGGATTCGAACCCCTGGAGACCCTACAAGACCTTCCCAAACTACTCGACAGGACTGCAAAGGGACAGATACAGGAGGTTCTGAAGAGTCATCTGGTGATGCCATTTAAATATAGGGGGAAAGAGGCGCTTGCCTGATAGGGTACAACTGGGATAGTGCCCAAGAGCGTCAGGGTCAGAGTTTGAATCCCAGCCCTACCATTTATTTCCGACCTATATTTCTTTTTTGCAAAGCCTGAGCCGCTCAGAGTTCCAGTTTCTTCATCTGTAAAATGTAGTTAAACGCTGTGCACCTCACAAGGTTGTGTTAAAGTCAAAACTATGGAAAAAATGGAACACTTGCTGGCCCAGTGGAAGGAGCCCCTGTGACACCGTCAGTTAGGCATTGAGCTGCGACTGAAACGTTAGCAGTGGAAACTCCCCACCCCTCACTCTGGAGACAGGGGCGGTCGTCTGCTGCATCAAGATTTACAGCTTCGGAAACCCAGTGGGACATTTCTTCTCTGTCCTGCAGGGTCACTGGGAGCTGGAATTGACTTTATGGCTTGGTTTTGATTTGTGGTTGGTTGGTATCATGTAATCAGCCATATTACTGTCACCACCACTTGGCAGGACTGGTACTAGAAGCCAGGTCTTTGGTGTCCTAGTTCATGGCCGACCATTTGAACAGCACTCTGAGTTTACCAAATGGTTTTATGTATGCTTCCCACTTAGCTCTAGAGTAGGAACCCAGCTCATTTTTGGAAGACAGACGGAGGTGACAAGATTGGCCCAGTCACACACCTCTCAGGGGCAGAGCATGGCTGAATCAGAACCTTCCTGCCTTGCTAGGTCAGTGGGCTGTCCACCACATCATCTGCCTCCTGTCTCCTGACCAGTTAGCTTTTTAGGCCACTCTGCGTGTGCTTCCTTCCCTCAACATTTTTCTTGCTGAAAAAGAAATTTTGAGGGAAGAATGAAAGTTATTCATTAATCCAACAATTACGGATTTCTTTCTGTATGGCAGGCATTGTAGTAGGTGAACAAGGCGAGGTCTTTTGCCCTTGTGTAATGAGCGATAATGGAGACTGACAATACTCGACGAGAATAATCAAAATAATTTCCGAGCGATCTGTGCTCTGGAGGAATAAAGTGGTCCTTGGCCGGACCTCCTTTCCGAGGTGGGAGGTTGCCCACATCTCAAGCGTGCCTTTAGCACCAAGCTCTGATAGCACTTCACATAAGATTATCATGCACTTCTCAAATATGAGAAGCCCTAGAGATAGGAATTTATATCCTCATTTTGCATGAGCTCAGCATCCAGGGACTTGGCTTCCCACCTGCACCGCAGTAACCTGACTGCCCGAGGCTGCACGCCTCATACCTGGAAACCATCGACTGCAGGGATTGTGCTCGCTGGGCTTGGTGCCTGGCTGGGAGGATTCACGTTCCTCCAGCTTCACTGCAGCAGGGATGCTTCTACCTGTCACTACCTCCCCTGGCACCACAGCACCCAGAGACCAGGCTCAAATGACTGCGTTCCCTTCCCATGAGCCTCACTGCAGGAAGGCGTTTTCCTGTAGTCTACAGTCCTCAAGGGAGGTGCTTTTCTTTCCTCCCTTGAGCTTCTCAAGAATTCTTATTGGCACGCATCTAGTCGTCTTATATATCGCTGGGTTTACCAGGCCACTTTGACCTCCCCTCTCTTAATGACATATTGTAATAAAAAACTGCAGCCTGAAAAGAAACTACAGAATAATTGTTCACGTAAAAGTCTTAACCTAATACACGAATTCACCTCAGGTCAGACCTTAGATCAGATCTCCTGATGTAATCCCTAGGTCCTTTGCAAAGTCTTCAGTGATCTGTGGCAAAAGTCAGGAACCCCGGTAGCTTTGTGGTTAAAAGCACTTGACTTCTAACGAAAAAAGGCCAGTGGTTCAAATCCACCAAATTCTCTGTGGGAGAAAGATATGGCAGTCTGCTTCCGGAAAGATTGGCACCCTGGAAACCCAGTGAGGCAGTTCAGTGTTGTTTTAGAGAAATAAACTCAGTGGCACTGGGTTCTTTTCTTTTGGTGGGAAAATTGATGACTTTTTTTCATAAAATGTAGCTCATTTTATGAAATTTCAAGAATGTTTCCAATTTAAAACAGTGTCAAACTGGAAAGCAACTTGTGAATTGGAGCCAATATTTTTTAAAATTAACCATATAAAAAATATCAGTGTATTACATATAATAGAGATAAATATTATATTGAACTTTTGTTTCTGCTTTATATGTGTATGTGTGTATTGTGACTTGATGTAAAATGTATTTATACCATGATTTGAGGGGGCAGAGAAAAGGAAGTTTGAAAAACATTGCTTTTAAGGATTGTCCTGTACCCTAGGATTTATGCCTGCTGGTATTCTTTCTTTATTGAAAAAGTTTTTTTAAGTCCTTGTTTATCAAAATGAAACATAAATGGCCATGTATCATTCCCTTCTCCCTCAATTTTTTTATAAATGTATTATGGTTTCATGCATATTACGAAGAGAGAAAAAAAATCTACTGACCAACCTAAATGTTCAACAGCAGGGAACTAGATTAAACCAACAGGTATCCATCCACTTAAACAATCATTTGTAACTTTGCTAAAGTCACAGAATTAGTGTGTAACTAAGTTAAGACTCCTAATCCTCCCAGATGACTGAATAGGTAAGAGGTGGAATTATATTTTAAATCTTTTTAATTGGGATTATAAATGTATACAGACATGATAGGAAAACTGACCTTTAATACAGCTTTGAGTGGCAATGCCTAAGAATCCTACAGTCATGGATTAAAGAGTCTTGGTGCAGCATATGGCACTGCTAACAAAAGGCTTTGGATATCTAGCAGTTCAGTTTCACCGGTGGCTCCATAGAGGGAAGATTTGCGGTCTCAGAGACCCAACGGAGAGTCCCTCTGAGTCAGAATTTACTCAGTGGCAGGGGACTTAGTTTTCAAAGCTGTGGAACATTAGAGCACAATGATCTTGCTTTTGAAATGAGAGCTAAACTGTTGTCCACAGAGGACTTGCCCAGATCCCACAGGGCTTAATGACAGGTCAAGGCCTTTGGGTTTGGTCCATCTCTCTTTTGTAGAGATCAGCTCAGAACAGTTCTTGTCGGTGTTTACCAGGCAAGAACAGATGGAGACTGTCGCTTTCATGCTTGTTCACGTGCCTGCCCTGCACCCAGGGTTTCTGATTCTGTTGGGGAATCCTTTACCTCTCTGTACTGAGTCTTGGAAGAGGGGACATCTTGGATGGAACTCTGCTCTCTGATGTAATATGGGAGATCTGATCTACCAGGGAGAGAATACACTCACCACTTTCTCCACCTCCTTTCTCAAGTTGCCTCAGTGACCACAAAGCTGTCTCCCTTACAGGGCTCTGTGGACTGCCCCACTCTGGAGTTTGAGTATGGAGATGCTGACAGGCACGCAGCAGAGTTGTCAGGTATGAGGTGGATGGATGGGTCTATGGAGAGTGGGAGAGGAGCCAGGAGGAGAGGGGACGGGCCTGTGACCACCCCTCAAAGCTTGTCTTCGCACAGAGGGGCTATTGAACAAGCCTGTCCAACACTCTCCTTCCCTTGCCTTCCACTAGTAAATAGCCTTTTGTTGTCTTTCGCCTTTCTTCCTGTGAATGCTCCTGTGGCCCTGGCCTTCTCCCTCCTTTCTTTCTGCACTGTGCCTACCACCCCCCTTAATCCTCTTGCTCATGTCACCCTTCTGTATTCTTTTTTAGTGCATCCTTGAATCTCTCTTCTCTTCATTCTCTCTCCTCTTTTCTTCTCACTCCCCTCACCTTTTTCCTCTGTATCACCCGTCTCTGCATGTCCCTTTTTTCTGTCATCCATCCCTCCAGCATATCTCTCCTTTGTCATCTCCATAACCATCCTTGTCCTTTCTCCTAACACCTGTCCCTTGTTCAAATCTCAGCCATGGTGGAACTAAAACTACAGACAGCTGACCAGCTGAGCAAGACTGGCCATGTCCCCCTACACTCACCATGATGTTCTCTCTGTACTTGGCTGCTTCTCTGTCTGGGTTTATGGCTTGGGGTAAACATGATCCCCTCACATTGAAGGCCTCCATGTTACACATGCTCTGAATACAAGTTATTAATAAGTTTGGGTGGAGCTAGTGTGGAAGTTAAATATCAGTCACATGGAAGTGACACTTGGAGACATGCATTTTTAGAGAAAGACAGATTTTTTGAAAAGAAATCTTGTGAATAAGCACAGGGAATAAATTTTATGATGAATGACAGAACGAGCTAAATTTAATAACTAATAAAAGATTAAAATTCAGAATATGAATATATATGTATTTAGAGCAAAAGGAGATGAACAATCCATTAGACAGGTGAGCCAAGAATATGAATAGGAATTCATAGAAGAGAAAACCATGTGGTTGGTAAATACATGAAAAGATGTCGAGTTTCACTTGTGGGTTGGGAATAACAAAAATATGAAATATTATTTCACAATCATTGTAAAACTTAAAAGCCTTCAGATGGTGGAAGTACAGAGAATTGAGTGCTTTCATGTACTGCTGGGAGTAGGGAGCTTATAAAATTGGAAAGCATTTGGCTATATCTAGTAAAGGAGACCCACACCATCGAATCACTCACTCGTTCAGCTCCCTGGTGTACATCCTCAAGATATTTACACCTTGGCACAAGAAAACAGAGAGATATTTCTAGCTTTGTTTATAATTGTGAAAAACAGAAAACAACCTAAAATACCACCAGTAGGGAAGTGGATAAACAGTAGGGTACCAACACTGGTCACCTGTATAGCCATTAAAAGAACCATTCCACAGCAACATGCTTCAATATTGGTAAATCTTGAAGATACAATGTTGCAAGGGGGGAAAGCAAGTAGTAAAAGAATATATACAATATGATACCATTTGGATAAAATTTAGACAACACTGAACAATATCATATGTTGTTTATGAGAACATACATATGTAGTGAAAGTATAAAAATGGGCCCGTGGAGGAGACACACCACCTTCATTATAGCTGCTACCTCGAGAGACAATAGGATCAGACCCAAGAGGGGACTCGGGATGTAGAAAGATCTAAGGCAGTATGCCAAGACTTAACATTTGTTTCACCTGGGTAGCGTATAGCAAGATATCTTAAATGTATTATATACTTACCTCCATGTGAAGGTTCTTAGAATCAGAGCACATAAAAATAAAGACAGAGTTCAATGCCTGAGAGTCTCACTTACTCTCTTGGGCTCCTAGGGCTCCCTGTCCACCAAAGAATTTGCAGTTCTGAATGGGGTTTGCTCTATCACCCAAACCTCTGAGTGCAGGACTCGAAAGCCCTGTCTCCCAGAGGAGGTATACTATGTCCCTCAGACAGCCATCGGGGCACCAGGTGACTCTTTCTTGCTTTGTGAATTATCTGGGGGGATCAGGGAGCCACGTTAACGTTCCAGCTGGGGTCTTAGTTAAGGTGTCCGAGACCTGGAGGAATTGTCTTTTGTACCCTATTGACCTCTTCAGTTCTTCATCCTCTGTAAGATGCGGGTGCTGGTATAATTATTCTGGAATGTGTACTTGTGTGGGAGAGGCATTTTTGTTTCTCAGACGCTTCTTGCATTTTGCACAGAGAAGCTGCTTCCAGTGCAGTGAGATTCTCCTGGGTACAGGCAGCCCTTTGGCAGCCTTCGCTGCTTGTCTACACAGCTTACCACAGTCTCTGCCCAGGTGGCCACGGGCAGGAACATAAACTTCTATACCCTCCAAGGAAACCCAGCGGTGAGAGAGGGAACTGGCTTCAACACAAAGGGCCTTTTGGCACAGACTCATCAGACCCCGCCCTGAACAGCACAGGGTCCTGCCCCACCTCGGCACTGGTATTGCCCTTAGAAATAAGTAAATAAATTCTATTCCTTAGAAACTAGAGGACTCCAGGCAAGGCAGATAGAGCAGAAGGGATCGCAGCTCTGAGAAATAGGGGTGTTGACATCCTGCCCTCTGCTCCAACCCTTCTGGCCTCACCAAATGTTGAAGGCTGCCTTCTCTGCGAGAGCGGCCAGCTGGCAGGAGGAGGACAGGTTTGATGGTTTAATCACCCAGGGACACAAGTGGCTATTTTTAACTGCTCTGAAAGGGAAGAATCTGGCTCTTGATGGAATCGGACACAGGAATGTGTTAGAAGCTCCAGCTCTTCCCCACGCTCCCTCCACCCTGGGCCTCTGTAAAAGGATTCAGGTAAAGGTCTGTGACACTCTGTCCCATGTTTCCCCCACAGAGTTGTACAGCTACACCGAGAGCCAGGAATTCACCACTAACAGGAGGTGCTTTGAAGAAGACTTCAAGACTCAAGGTGATCCCAGAACCTTGTGCACAGAGGCCTCCTTTTCCCCCTCTGTGATGCTTGCGCCTGACCTGATAAAACGCAGACACAAAGTATGAGCCTTCCTCACGCCCTCTTGCTCATGAGATGCAGGATTCTGTCTGTAACAAATGGACAGGCCATGGGGTAGAAGCACAGGAAGCCTGAGCTGGGTCCCTTCCGTGGTATAAAGGGCAGGAGCAAGCAGCATGATGATTCAGCGGGGCTGGCTGGTCTGCATGGTGGACTCTGCCTAACCGAGCCCTTGACCTCTGGGCTCCTGCTTCTAGTTGTGTCCCACTCGCTACAGCATCTCATAGCAGCTTCATGTACCATACAGTGACCCTCTGTGACCTCCAGTGGCCTGCAGTTCACAATTCAGTAGATGTGTCTTGAACAACTGTTCAGTGCCAGAGAGGCTCGGGGAAGGTTTGAAAACGAATCTGCAACATTTTCAAAGAGCTTAGAGTCTGTCAGAGCAGGAGGAGATTTGTATAACACAAAACTAGCGAGTGGTAACAGGAAGTCAAGTGTGTGTGAGGCAGAGCTCTGGCTGGGGCCTTAGAGGAAGAAGTGTCTGTTTGGGGCTTGTAGGATGAATGGAATTAGGTCTGAAAGGACCGGACTGAGCTGCTTGAAGAAAGGCAGCAACGTCATCGTGTAGGCTGTGAGTAGAGGATGCAGCGCGGCTAAGGTTGAGGCTCCAGAAGGGGGTGCAGGTCGGGCAGGGTGTTTGGATCATTTCCCATCCATTGATGTTACTCAGCCGGGTCAGGAAGCCTCTAGAGAAAAGAATTTGATGGGGACTGAGGTCAGAGCTGGGTGTGCTGTCGGGACTCTCCCCAGGGAGGAGAAACAGCAGCTCATAGAAAGCCTGGCTTTCTGTCCCCAGTGCAGGCAAAGGAGTGGCTAGAACTAGAGGAAGATGCCCAGAAGACCTATGTGATGGGACTCCTGGACCGGCTGGAGGTGGTCAGCAGGGAGCGGCGGCTGAAGGTGGCTCGGGCTGTGCTCTACCTGGCTCAAGGTGAGAGACCACCCTGTGAGCCTGAGTGGGCTGGGAGCTGGGGAGAGCAATGGTGTTACCATGGCTGAGAAGAGGCAGACCAGGCTGGGAAGGCAAGGTCCAGACCCTGTCATGTTTGTGGGAAGCTTGAGGTGGTGCAGGCATTGTTTTGGATCTTGGGATCTTTCTTTCCCTAACCAGGCATACCGCAGTTTCCCCCAGAACCAAAACCCACTGCCGCTGAGTTAATTCCAACTCATAACGACCCTATAGAAAGCGGAACTGCACCCCAGGGTTTCTAAGGCTCCAGTCTTTACAGAGTAGACTGCCACCCCTTGGTCCCATGCAGCAGCCAGTGGATTCAAACTGACCTCTAGGTTAACAGCCACTGCACCACCAGGCTCCTTCAGACCTTCTCAGAGGGCTGTCTGTTTCTCCATCCTGGGCTGAGAGCACATATGGAGAATAGATAGCAAGCAGATTGGCCTGGACAGAGCTGCCAATGTCCCACCAGCTGAACATGGCAGCCTTTTTTGTCCACTGTGACCTGGAGCAGAGCAGAGACAGCAGCGTAACATAGACTCAAATGTAGACCCTCCGCTTCTTGTTGACATTTCAAAGGTTCAAACCAGTCTAATGGTGCTGGGCATAGACCGTGAGTAAATCTGAAGTGGATCAGAACTGAGATGAATTGGTGACAGCTTCCCAGAGTCACTTGTCATCGAGGTGCTGGAAAGAGAAATGAGCTGGCTGGCGGGAGTGGTACAAATAAGCCCTGGGATCATAAGTGTGTGGACTGTGGGCAGATCCAGCTAGTTGGAAGCTAAATCATAAAAGAAATAATATATGTAGAGGAGAGAGGGTAGACACTGAGTGAAGGGAAGACCCTGGAGCTGAGAAGACCATGCCCACCATACCTCTCAGAGGGCATGTTCTGGCCACCTTCCAACTGCCGGTCCCTCCATCTTTCAACTTGAGGGCTTTCTCTGAAGCACACACACAGGGCAACCTGGAGATGTTGGAGACCAAACGCCCTCCCGTCCCCCAGCAGCCTTCAGCCAGTACCCAACAGTTAATGGAAAAGCAGTCCAGCCACTCCACCCTCCTGGATACAGAAACCTGATTGCGTTATTTACACAGTGCCCCAGGGAGCTCTGGGATGTCATCCATACAGAGTCGTGCTGCTAACCGAAAGATCACACACCTCTGGTAGTTTGAATTCACCGTGAGCATGCGGAAAAGATGACCAGTCTCCTCCCGTGAGATTTACAGCCTCAGAAACCCAATGGCCAGTCAGTTCCAGCTCGATGGGAGTTGCATTCCCCACCTCTCCAGTGTTGAGCTCTCTGCCTGCCTTCTCTTCTTACTTCCCCACTTCACTACTCAAGAGTTCCTGCCAACAGCATCCCAGTTAGCTACTTGCATTTGAATGTTTATCTCATGATCTTTCCCTACAGGAATTCAAATTGATGAGTGCTTTGGACCTAACCCTGCTTTTCTTCTCCCCTGCATCATTTCAGAAAGTTCTGGAAGCCATGCTAGCCCCTACTTTTGCTAGACTGATTGCTGGACAGGAAGCTGGAGATGGTCTAAGTTCACAGGGTGGGGTGGGAAGGACTGGAGGTCCCCCTCAACCCCTGTGGTCCCATCTGGTCCCTTAGGCACTTTTGGAGAATGTGACTCAGAAGTCGATGTGCTGCACTGGTCCAGGTATAACTGCTTCCTGCTCTATCAGATGGGGACCTTCTCAACCTTCTTGGAGCTACTCCACGTGGAAATCGAGTGAGCAGCCTCTGGGGAGGGCTGGCTGGCATAACCTTCTTCCTTGGCCTTGACTCTGGTGCTGGTTCCCCCTCCCTCTGGGTCTTCTCAGAACTCACTACCAGTCTCCTCCATCCAGCTATGGCCCCTGAGGGTCTGTCCTCCCTCCTTGAGGTTGGGCTCAGCAGCAACCTCTGCTCCATTTCTGCCTTAATCCTGGGCTTCAGGGGCCTCTGAGGCACAGGCTGCCTTTTTACCCAAGCACCTTCTCTGGAGTCCAGGAAGGAAGCTGCTCTGGTCAGGAGCATGGCCCCCAGGGGCAGGACCTCTTCTGAGAGTTGTGCCCAGTTCTTTCCCGCTCTGCATCTGTAACTGCCACCACCACCATTGTGCACCCTCACTCTGTCACTAGGGTTTGGGCACGGTGACACTCGTTCAGGGGACACACAGTCTGCATCCAGCTCACACTAGATTTTGGTGGGGGTGGCAGCAGGTGTGGACCCAGCTCTTACGCATCTTCAGCAAAGAGGTGGGTTTTCTGAGAGGTAGAAGGAGCTGTTTGCTTCCCTCCGCCTTAGACCAGGTTCTCCAGTGCCTGGTAGCCGGGGCATGGCAGGTACTCATGCTGGGTCTGTGTAAGAGGAGACAGGAGCAGCAACCCTGCAGGGGTCTCTCCCTCTTCTCCTCTGCAGCAACAGCCAGGCCAGCAGCAGTGCCGTCCGGAAGCCCGCTGTCTCCATTGCTGACAGCACAGAGCTGCGGTGAGGGGACTGTGTGGGGGCTCTGGATTGGAGGAGGGTGTGTGGGGGGATCTCAAGGTTAACCTTTCCCCAAATCCCTCAGTCTGCTGGGAAGTTGCCCTTTCACATCCAGGTGGGTCGGGCTCCTGCTGTGACCATCCCTGAGGGGCTGAGAAAGCCCCCACCCGCCCTCCCCCGCAGTCTGGGCGCCTGTTGGGAGCCTCTTAGGACCCTTCTGTATCCCAGGGTTCTGCTGAGTGTCATGTACCTGATGGTGGAGAACATCCGGCTGGAGCGCGAGACAGACTCCCGTGCGTGGAGGGCAGCCCGGGAGACCTTCCGCACGGAACTGAGTAAGACAAGCACGGGAGAGTGGAGCTGCAGGCCAATGGTGGAGGGAACGGTGGAGGGAGCGTGGCAGAGCCTCAGAGCAGACAGACAGCCCTTTCTCTGTCTTTTCTTGCTGCTGTTAGACTTGACTTCTTTTTTCAGGATAGAGGAGTTGGTTGGCATGAGGGCTGGGCTTGACCTCCCATGTCGTGAGCTAGGACCCATCACATAACATCTCTGTGCCTTGGTTTCCTTGGTTATAAGCTGGTTAGTCATCCTTCTCCCATTCCATCACGAATCCCACATGAAAAACTGAATTGAATCACCTTGAAAAACGGCTTTGTTCAGATGTGAGTTGGCTTTGTCATCACTTCGAGATAGACTATGAAGATAGCCTTTGAAATCTTGACATGAAATCATTGCTGTGGAAAGGTGTGACCCGTGAAATGAATTGAGTCTTTGATGGGAAGACAGTACCTTAGTGACTGTCACTTCTAGTTTGGCAACCACCCCCAGCCATCACCCTGATCTTGGGGACTAACCTCAAGTTTGCCTCCGTGTCTACCCTTTGGGACTGTGGGGCTTCTCTGTGGGGCTCCTGAAGCTTCCTTGGGACCAGGCGCCTGGAGCTCTTGGGGTGGGGGGGGGCAGTGCTTCTGCAGTGCACTTAGTCGGGGGCCAGCAGTTCAGCTCCAGCCTCTTCACTCTCTCCACACCCCCAGGCTTCTCCCTGCACAACCAGGAGCCTTTTGCCCTTCTGCTATTCTCCATGGTTACCAAATTCTGCAGTGGCCTGGCCCCCCACTTCCCCATCAAGAAGGTCCTGCTTCTGCTGTGGAAAGTGGTCATGGTGAGTGACTGACGCTTGCCCCTGCCTCTGTCACCATAGCTCCCTGCAGTCTGCTTCCGGGAAGCTGAGGGCCAGGTGACCTGTGTAGGCAGGACCGAAAGGAGGTACTGCTCTGAGGGGAGGTAGAGCCAGCATTTCGCGGGAGGAGCCCTGGCTCAAGCTGGGAGCTCTGCTGATGCTGAGTGACCTCAGACAACTCTGTCTCTTTTTTCCCAGCTGTAAAATGCAGGCTGCATGCCTGTCCCTCATGCAGATAAGTGCAGTGTTTGCTTGTTAAAATAGGAATCTTTGTAAATGTGGGCTGCAGTTCTGTTACTAGTCCTTCACCCGTGCTCCCGCTTCCCCAGGGAGGAGGCTGAACAGCTTACCTCCTAGGCAGGCCTCACCGCCTTCTGGTTACAGAGGAAACTGAGTGCCCTCTGGGGTTTATAGCATCTGGACATGCACCTTCAGTGGGAACATAGGCTTCCTGCTGTTCCACTGGGAATCTCAGGAGTCATTCTCTTAATGCCAAGTGATGTTCTCAGCCCTGAGTCAGAGTGCGGTGCTTCGTCCTGAGCTCCTTGTTTGACCCCCCCCCCTCGTTAAGGAGGGGCCAGGGAACTAGAGGTTGGGGCTCTTCCACTGTCCCCATCGCCGACTCTGATCCTGCCCTCCCTGACTCCCTCCCTCCCTCCCCTCTGTCCTTGTCATGTGTGTCCTGCAGTTTACCCTTGGCGGCTTTGAGCACCTACAGGCTCTCAAAGTACAGAAGCGGGCAGAGCTGGGCCTGCCTCCCCTGGCAGAGGACAGCATCCAGGTGGTGAGGAGTATGCGCGCCGCCTCCCCGCCCTCCTACACCCTTGAACTGGGCGAGTCTCAGCTGGCGCCACCACCCTCCAAGCTGCGAGGCCGCCGTGGCTCTCGAAGGGTATGGACAGAAGCTGACTGTGGCGGTGTGGTACCGGCTGGCCACCGAGATTGAAGTGGGAAAGGACCAGGCTCATTCTGCCCCTCCTTAGCCCTGTGACCGACCTGCCTGCTGGTCCCCCAGGCCTGGTATCAAACTCCTAGGCTACTGTGAGCGACACTGTGGTATCACATCACAGATTCGTGCCTGGCTGAGGGCCTAGAGGTCGTGGGCCTGGGCCTCAGTTCCAACCAGAAGTTCCTTAGTATCATGCACCATAGCGAAGGTCGCATCTGAGGGGAGCTAATCCATGAGAGGCTACTTTGCCGTTTTCTGTGCCAGAAGGCTTAACTCTAAGCCAGCCACACTCTTAGCTGGCCCTGGGACCAAAGGCCTCAACAAGGGAGAGGACTGGGGAGGGTCCTGGGTGTGGCCTGAGGGCCTGGAAAGGTAGAAAGACAAGCCTCACCAAGACCCAGTCTACCTGAATTCACCAACTGCAAATGACTGAGCCGAACAGGCACTCAGGAATCCACTCCGCATTCTCTCTCTGCCATATGATTTTTTTAAAAAGCATTTTTTGTTCTATAAAGTGATGCTTACTCATTGTCAAAAATTTGGAACAAATATAAAAATGTGAAGAAGAGGGGAATAAAAATCACCCACAATCTTAACAACCAGCGGCAGTCACTGTTAACTTTTTGGCCTATTTCTGTCCAACTTTTTTTTTCCCCCCTTCCCTTCAGTGACAAGATTTAAAATTCTAAGCCCGCTTGCGTCTGCCTCGCAGCAAGCTTCTGTCCTCTTCCTCAGCAGCCAGCCAGCTGGTGTGTGCTCACAGAAAGCAAACTAATTGAATGTTCACCTAAGTGGAGCATAATTAGGAAAATGCTAGGAAAAAAAAAGGCATCCGTGCTTTTTGAAAGTTAAGGACTTTAGGATGATCTGTGCTCTCTTCCACGCCATTGGCTTAGTTGCCTGCCGACTGCTGGTCCTGGGATTAGGCTGGTGGAGGGAGTCGGGCTGAGGTGCAGAATGGGATAGTCTCACAAGACTTCAGTTCATTCTTCATGTTCCCTGAAGTCTGGAAGCTTGTAGGTGGAGGGTAGCCTCAGACCACAGCCCTAGATGAGATCTCTGCCTTCCTCCCTTTCCTCCCCAGCAACTGCTCACCAAGCAGGACAGTCTGGACATCTATAACGAAAGGGATCTCTTCAAGACCGAGGAGCCAGCCGCAGAGGAGGAGGAGGAGCCCGCTGGGGATGGAGAGCGAGCCCTGGACGGAGAGTTAGACCTGCTAGAGCAAGATCCTCTGGTGCCGCCACCACCCTCCCAGGCACCCCTCTCTGCAGAGCGAGTGGCCTTTCCCAAGGGCCTACCCTGGGCCCCAAAGGTCAGGTAGGTTTGATGGCATGAGGGACCCTGAGAACCTCGGTGGAATCTTTATGTATTCCAGGGCTCCACAAGCTGAGGTGAAAGTGGGAGCTGCTGAGTTTGACGTTCTCTGTGTGTTAGCCGCTGTGTTCCTGTACTTTTCCTATCCTCGGGCTGGGGGGGAGGGCAACGAGGCAGCCAGAAAGGTTTTCTCTCTCAAGGTTTGCTTTTCTTCCCTTTTCTGGGATTGGCCTCTACTGTTCCCTCAGACAGAAGGACATTGAGCACTTCCTGGAGACGAGCAGGAACAAGTTCATCGGATTCACTCTGGGGCAGTAAGTGACTGATGGTCAGAACTCCCCGGAGTGCTTCCGCGGGGGTCAGCGGAGTGGGTGGCTTGAAGTGGAACGTGCTCCCTGGTAGTCACGGGACAGCCAAGAACTGCCAGGTCGCAGGCCTCGTGTGCCCATTATGGGTTCTTCTCACAGGACTTTCTCCTTGCATTCCATCTACTTTCCCAGACGAAGTTGTATATTCTTGACTAGCTCTAGAACCTTTGACCTTCACCAAGTCATTCCTACTCTGGGCCTCAGTTTCCTCAGGATTACTGAATTACATGATCCCTGGAATCCTTCCTATATTTTTTCTTAATTTTTATTATTTTTTGTGCATGTACCATCAAATTGGATCTGACTGGTACAGAAGGAGATTGCCTCTCCTTCTCCAGCAGAGCATCTAGTGGATTCAAACTGTGCACCTCTAGGATTGCAGTGCAGTCCCTTCCTATTCTTAAGGAAGAAGACAGATAGATGGTCAGAACAGACTTGGTTCCCCCCTTTACTCCACGTACATGATTCTGCCCCATTGCCATCTACAAAACTAGAAAAAGTATCTTAGAACTGGGGTTTCACTCAGTACTGTTGGGCTATGTATTCCTAGACCAAGTGAATCCCAAAAGACTGTCCACATCTCCTAATTTATAAAGATGTGTTTATGTCACATTCTCTTTGTAACCTGAAGCAATGGTGGACCAGAGCTTACAGAGGAAAGTCAGGGTACCAGAGAGAAGCTGCAGAAGTGGCATGGCCCATATGACTCGGGGTGGCTGTTGTGATAGGAGTTCCCTGTGTTTGGAACTTGATGAGCTGATAGATTCCCCTGACCTTTCGCAGGGACACAGACACCTTGGTTGGATTGCCCAGGCCCATCCACGAGAGTGTGAAGACCCTAAAGCAGGTGACCAGGGCGGGCTCAGTCTTCAGGGTTAGGGAGTCCTGCTTCACGGTGGTTGGATTTCCAGGGCCCTGGGTACCGGGTGAGCTCATCTGCTAGGCACGTTGTTAATCTCTGAATTTCCTGTATTGGTCTTTTGGCCAAACAGAGAAAAAACCCAAAACAATCCCCCCTGCTTACCCAGTTTTCTACATTCAGATAGGAGAAAAGGATCTTTTTTTTTTCTCCCCTGTCTTTCCATTTGCTTTCTCCTACCTTCTCTCTTCCCACTTGTCAGTTGTTTCTCTCCCCAGAGGTGACATGGCATTGAGAGGGGTCAGTGTGTACACAAAGAGTAAAGATCTCGTGCCCAGAAGTGGAACCTTTCCCCCAGTGTTATCACTCCACATCCACACAAACACCTGTGCACATGAATATGCACATACACAGCAAAACCCTCAGGACAGTGACCGAGGAACAAAGACCTGCTATTACCTTCCCTCGGCACAAATGCTTCTGGGTTTGCTGTCCTTCAGATATGGAAGCATGGAATATACATACACACATTTACCATGTGGGGAGCGCTTTGCTTAGAGCTAATGATACAGGGGTAATTAAGATTCCTACCTTCAAAGAGCTGGTTTATTCAGGTGACAGATCTATGCCTAGAACGTCTCCTTGTCACGGGGGAAGTTACGAAAGGCCTGTGCACATGGATTGAGTGAAATCCCTTGATGTCCTCTGCTTTGTGCTGATGTCTCCTCATCTTCCCCAGCACAAGTATATCTCCATCGCCGATGTTCAGATCAAGAATGAGGAGGAGCTGGAGAAGTGTCCCATGTCTTTGGTAAGCTGAGGGGTTCCACAGGAGGAGAAAATTCAGCTGTTACCACAAAACATGTGTGCAAGAGGAGTTCAAAGTAGAGGAGGCAGCAAAGCAAACTGAGAAGACTCAGAGTGTTAGAAGTCACGAAGGAGGCCAGGGTGGACGGAGCACAAGGGGTGCAGGATAGGGTCCGGAGAGATGAGAGCAGAGAGGTGGCCTGGGACCAGTTTACTTAGGACTGTGTAAGCAAAGGCCAGGAGCGTATAGTTGATACACAGTTGAAAGGGAAGCCTTTGGAAGACTTCAAGCAGGTTGTAAGTAATATTACCTGGTTTATGTTTTTTATTTTTGTTATTATTGTTGTTTTTAATTATGAATTTTAATGAAATTTATAGAGGCTTTGGATTTCCATTCATTCATTGTTGCACCTTTCTCCCTGCCCACTCCTACCCCTCACTGGTTTGTGTTTTTAAAAAACATTGGTTGCTGTATAAAGATTAGACCAAAAAATAGTGGAAGCAGGAGATCACTTAGGAAGCTACAGAAATAGTTCAGGTAAAAGATGACGATAACTTAGTCCAGGGTAGTTACTGTGGAGATTGAGAAAAACAAATGGATTTGGGATATGTTTCAGAGGTTTAGCTGACAAATCTTGTATTTTGATTGAACGTTCATATAGGAGCAAAGAGAAGAGGCAAGAATAAGTAACATTTACCCAAGATGGTAAATAGGGAGCTCTGGTGGCTTAATGGTGAGAAACTGTGCTGCAGTCCCAAAGATGCAGAGTTCGAATCCATCAGCTACTCCACAGGAGAAGGATGGGCAGTCTCCGTCCATGAAATTCATTAACTGCCTTTGAAAACCCACTGGGGGGGTCAGCTATGGGTCAGAAGAAGGAGGAGATGCTGTGATCTCATGGGAGAAAAGGACTTTCCACAAAGACTTCCGCTGGTACCCCTACCTTCCCCGCCCTCCCGTTCTGTGGGTTGCCCTGTTCCCTACTACTCCTGTTTACCTGCTATTCCTTCCTAGCTAACAGAGCTTTCTGACCGCTGAACCTACCCGCAAAGTTTTAGATCGATTCAGATAGTGAGAAAATCCGAATCGTAGATTTTCAGAGGTGGAAGAGCCTCGGCGGTCATCAAAACTGGTCCCATTAAAGAGGAAACTAGGGCTCAGAACCCACAGAGGGAAGGAGACTTAGCCAAGGCCACACAGCGAGGGCAGGAAGCTAGATCTCCACTCAGCCCAGTGCTCTTCTCACACCACCCCTCACAGCCTGGAAAGCGTGCGAGCCTCTGGGGCGCTGCAGAGACGCTGGACAAACTGTCTTCTGTCTTAGGGGGAAGAGGTGGTGCCGGAGACCCCGTGTGAGATCCTCTACCAGGGAATGCTGTACAGCCTCCCCCAGTACATGGTAAGGAGACACGTGCAGAGCAGACAGCTGAGAGCCTTTTCAAGCTCTGTTGTTTGAGCTTGTTTCCCGACAGCCTTCACCTCCTTGAGCGAGGCATTCTCTGACACATCCACATTCTCAGCTTCCCTCGGGGCTCCTCCCATGACCACCTTTGGGGAACAGGGTGTAAGGTGGAGTCTACACAGGGTGATTTGCAGACCCTCCCTCCGAGTTACCATCTTCGTTCTCCTGAGTTCTAGTGACCATGCCGTGTCCTAGGTAATCTGCTGCAAGTGGTGAGCGTACTGACAGGGTCAGCGGAAGAGCAAGGGCGGAGAAGCTGGGTCATGAGAACTTGGCTGTATTAGATGTGGTCCCTCGCTCTGCACTTCCATCCACCCCCTCAGAAGGCCTGTCTTCCAGCAGCTCAGCCTGTGTGCTCCCTGCTGTTCCCTCTGTGGCTCACGGACAGGCCTCTCGGAATCTTGTCTTTCTGGAGGCTGAGGAGAAAGGCAGCCATTGAGAAGGCCTTGGGGCAAGGTGTGGAGCTGTTGGGGTATGGAAGGTTAACTGTGCCATGTAGGCTGGAAGGTAGGCTGTACCTCCTCACTGTCTGCCCCCCAGATTGCCCTCCTGAAGATCCTGCTGGCTGCAGCCCCCACCTCCAAGGCGAAGACAGACTCCATCAACATCCTGGCGGATGTCCTGCCCGAGGAGATGCCGTGAGTGCCTCAGCTACTGCTGGGTGCTTGCTGTCCTGTCTGCAGTGTCTCTCGCCCCTCCTTACCAACAGTGACAGGGATCGTCTCCAGAGAGTCCCTCCTCTGCTCTAACCCCTGCCGGTGGGAAGGCTCTTGGCTGCAGTCTTTATAGCTGGGGCTCTGGAAGATAACGTCAGTGCCAGTGAATGGCTGCCCCGGTGAGGCAGCCAGCCTCAAGGGCCACGCTGACCAAAAGATAGAGACAGAAATAGAAATAAAAGGGGACATTTTCCAAATGAGAAGTCTTTAAATGGTGCAGCTAGTTAAGCACTCAGTTACTAACCACAAGATTAGCAGTTCAGATCCACCCAGAAGTGCCTCAGAAGAAAAGTGTGGCACTCTCCTTCTGAAAGCCCGAGCCATCTGAAAACCTCTGGAGCAGTTCTACTCTGAAACATGAGTCATCACACGTTATAACTGCTTCTCCAGATGGACTCAGCCCTAGAAACTCTGGAGGGTGCCCTGGGGAGAAGTTTCGGTGACCAAGTGCCCGGCCGCCCTCTGCACTGACCCCCTTCTCCCTTCCTCTTCCCCTGCAGCGTCACCGTTGTCCAGAGCATGAAGCTGGGCATTGACGTGAACAGGCACAAAGAGATCATCGTGAAGAGCATCTCTACCCTGCTCCTGCTCCTCCTCAAACACTTCAAACTAAACCACGTCTACCAGGTGAGCAGCTGCCGTGCCTCGCCAAGGGCTCAGGTGAGCTCCCGGCCCCAATTCCCAGCCCAGAGCCCTCATCGTCAAACTGAGCCTCATTCTGCCTTGTCTTGTTCTAAATTAGGAAATCTAGCTACATTCATTCATTCATTTATTTATTTTTCTTTTTAATTATTTTGTGTGTGTGTACCGTCGTATCAGATCTGACTGGTACAGGAGGAGAGTGCCCCTCCTTCTCCAGCAGAGCATCTGGTGGATTCGAACCGCGCTATCTCTGGGATTGCAGTGCAGCTTCTTGCCACTAGGCCACCAGAGCTCCCTGAAATCTAGCTACCTTTTTAAGAACTGGGCATGGCATGTGGATTGGTATTCAAAGGGAGCAGTTCAAAAAGGGGTGATCATTGTCTTCTGTGCATTTTCCCAGGGCTCTGGGCAGGAGGTCAGCAGAAGGAATCCCTGGTTTGTTGAGACTATGTACAACCAGACTAGACGTAATGGAAGACAAGACTCATGCATTCCACCCAAAAAGGAGAGAAGTTGAGCCCTGTCTGTGGGAAGCACTTTTCTAGAACTCTGCATAAGACACAGTTCTAACTCTTTAAAGACCTTGAAGTCTTACAAAGGATATAGATACTTAGGGAGCCAACTTCAGAGTGAGAAGTATTGTGGAAATACCCAATAGAGCCCCCAGTGTAGAAAAAGGCTCCATCTAACCTGACTTCTTGGGAAAGGAGGATGTTAGCCAGGGTGTGGGAGCTGGCAGGGAAGGGAGACAGGAGCACTTTGAACAGGAAAAAAGGTAATATGTAAAAGTTCAGAGGAGAGAGAAAATAATGCCTTTGAAAACTAATGAAATGCTAGTATTTTTCTGGGATGGGGAGATGGAGCTGACTTGGGATAAATGAGGCAAGAGGGGACAGCAAGGAGGATCATAGTTAGATAATCACTTAGGATTATTAAATTCTTATAATGTGCCATGCGAGCTCTGGTGGCCTAGTAACAAGAAACTGCGCTGCAATCTTGAAGGCACCAGCTGCTGGTGGGAGAAGGCTGGGCTGTCTCCTCCCGTACGATTAACAGCCTCTAAAAACCTGCTTCAGGGTCAGCTATGGGTCAGTTCCGACTCTGCAGAACACAACAACAACACAGTGTGCCACAGAGGAAAACTCGATGCCTTTGAGTTGAGGTGTGGCATTGGAGAAGAGTGCTGAATAGCACATGGACTGTCAAAAGAGCACATAGGCCTTGAGAAATTGCAGTCAGTAGGCCCCTTGGAGGCAAGGATGGCGAAGCTTCGTCTCACAAACCTTGATCACGTTGCTAGAAGCAGCTGTCCTTGGAGAAGGACGTCATACTTGTAAAGGTGGATGGACAGTGAAAGAGAGGAAACCCCTCAACCATGTGGATTAGCACAGTGAATGCAGCAATGGGTTCAGGTGCCAGAGATGATAAAGATGGGACTAGATAGTTCGTGGATAGATTGTTCGTGGGGTCGCCATGAGTCGTACTCAGCTTGACTTCACTGTCAGTAACAACAACATAATGTGCCAGGCACTCCATCCAGTTTATGGAGGGTCTCATTTTACTCTCAAACCCAGAGAAGCAGATGTTACTATATTGATGAGGAAATTGGGGCTAGGAAAGGTTAAGTCACCTGCTTCCCCACTACCTCATTTTTTGCCATCCTGAGGGCTTTGGACTTTGTCCTGAGGGCCTTGCCAAGCTGGAAGTGAAGGAAGGGACAGTGAATGGGTGCTTCTGTCTCTGATCTGACCAAGGTGCAAAGAGAGAGCTTCTGCAGTTTTCACAGGGCCCCTGGTGGTCAATGCCCATTTCTTCCTAAGACGGCAGCATCAGCCTTGCAGGGGAAGAGGGGCTCACAAGTGCAGGAGGTCTCTGTAGAGTCTATGCCTTTGCCAGGTTTTGCTGCACAGCCCGGCTGTTTTCTCCCCTTGGGAACATTCTGAAATTTCTTTGGGAATGCTCGAGTGTTCTGGGAAGCCCCATCTCTTCTGCCAGTGTTTGCCGGGCAGCAGTAGGTCTGGGAGTCGGGGTGGGTAGGAGGTTGAATTCTCATGGAAAGAAAAGTGCCGCTGTGTGTTCCTGGCTGCCTCTCGTGGTGGGCAGTGTGTGCACAGACAGATGGAAGCTCAGTGGCCTGGCCAGTAGGTGGTCAATGAATCCTAGCAAGGCCACGGGCATGTCTCAAACTGAAAGATATTTACAGTCACTTGATAGTGGGTGTGTGCGTGCTTCTCTCTCTGAGTTCCGTAAGACAGAAAACAGCCTGGGCAGCTTCCAGGGAAGAAATGTTGAGCAGAAGAGAGGAACCATCCTGGCATATCTGACCTGCAACTCAACCCTGCACCCAGGGCTTAGCTTTTGCTGCTGCTACTACTACTACTTCTGCTACTTCTTGATCAGGAAGAACAAGGGAATTTCAAACACACTGCCTTTTTTCCACGCAGTTTCTGCACCTGCTGAATGTGCAAACATGCTGAGTCTGGGTGCACCCTGGGCAAAGTCCAGGGTGACCTAGACCTGTGACGTTACGCTCGTGACCCCCTGCCTCACAAGACCTTCCTGCATACAAACCCCATCTGGATTGAGAAAGGACACGTGCTGTGTTCACCCCGTCAGAGGCATCTTGAGCTTATTCTCAGTGCTGTCTCTGTTACCTGAAGGGCTGTCATTCATTCTCTTCAGTGCTTGCTGTTATTTCTAAGCACTCGGGCTAATGTAGGATACTCTGGTGGTTTACCGGTAAGGAGCTGCTCTGCCAACCTAAGGGCATATGGTTCGAATCCACCAACTGCTCTGAAGGAGAGAGATGGGCACGTCCCCTCCTATGCAGCTTACTCCCTCTGAAAACCTATTGGAGAGTCAGCTATGAATCGATTCTGACTTAACAGCACATAATAGGGCTGATGTGGAAATGTAGTGGCACAGTGGTTAAGTGCTCAGTTGCTCACCTAAAGTTTGGTAGTTTGAACCTAGTAGCCACCCAGTGGGAGAAAGAGGTGGTCATCTGCTTCTGTAAAGAGTACCGCCTTGGGAGTGTTCCAGGCAGTTCTGTTCTGTACTGTAGCCTTGCTCTGAGTCAGAGTCAACTTGACAGCAGTGGGCTTGGTTTTAGGGATAATAAGGTGAGTCAGACTCGAGGCGAAGCCCACGCTCCAGGCCCTCGCTAGGTTGCTGTGCGCTGTCCCATCCTGACTGACTGAGCAGTGCCAGCAGTTGCTGGGAGCCCACTGCACCTGTCCTGCTCAGTCACTCAAAGCCAGACATCCTGAGCCAGGAGTTTGGAATGGAAGACAGCTCCCGAGGGAGCCGCCTTTCCTGTTGAGCTTAGGAGCAAAGCTCACAGCAATTCTTATTATATATCATGAGTGAGATTTTCTCTTTGACTTGTTTATCTCTGGGCCTTTTGGTCAGGATCTTGTAACACACCTGCATTTTTTTGCAAAAGAAAATATGTACAGCTGTTAATAATGTGCCCACACTCATTTAGCATACAGAAACTGGCATAGTGCATTAATTAAAGTATCCTGGGGGAGTATTGCATGATTGGCAAAATGTATAACACAAGTGTTATCTGTGCAAAAATATAGCACACACACTGTCCATTGTCCCCCTCTGTAGAAGTTGGTCATCTGAGATGTTTCTCCCCATTTCACACACTGGAAGACTGACAACACAAGACGGCAGTGCATGTTCTTAGGAAATACCACAGATTTGTGTCTGCCTCTGTTTTTCCATATATGTCCTCTTCTCTCCTAAGTAAGATTCATCTTTATTCTGCTTTGATCTTTCGATTCAGTTTGAATATGTCGCACAGCATTTGGTGTTTGCTAACTGCATCCCCCTGATCCTGAAGTTCTTCAATCAAAATATATTGTCCTACATTACAGCCAAAAATAGGTAAGGACTCTGGACAGGTTTGTTTCAAGCAGCTGTTGAGTGACTGAGAAAAGGAGTTAGCCACTAAGAACCCCTCTCTGAGCCCGAGGTGTGCAGCCCCTCTTATCTTAGAGCTGCTAACGTTATATCTGATTTTCTTGACTTGCTGGCTGATGGCGTGTGTAGGTTGGCCTCTTCTTAAAGAGAATTTGCATTTCAATCATTTTGAACCCTGAAAAGTGTAATGATTCAAAGAAGTAAAGCCGCAGTGATGGAAATTTTAGCCTGGTGGGAGACAACAACACAAGATTCTTTTTTGTATGTGAACCATCCTGTTTATGTGCCCAGCCCTAATCCCAGCATAAATCGTTAGTGCAACATCACTCCTAAGTAAACTATAAAGTGTTGTATAAAATTTGTAACTAGAGGGAGCTCGGGTGGCCTAGTGGCAAGAAACTGCTGCAATCTTGAAGGCGTGTGCTTCAAATCCACAAGATGCTCTGCTGGAGAAAGAGGGGATATCTCCTCCTGTGCCAGTTAACTTGAGGGTACACAGCAAAGGGGGAAAATTGAAAAAATAAATACATTTGTAACTAGAGGTAAATATTAGAGCTTACTTAGGAAAATTAGTTTGTGGTTTAAAGAAGATAATATTTTCGCTTCCATAGTTTTAACTATTTAATCTTATCAACAGTGTTAATGGGTACCACAATGAGTTTGAACTTGTTTTAACAAATTCGAAGGCGTTAATTGACTTCCTGGAGATCCACATGCCAATGCGACTCCTTAAGTGGGTAGCAGAGGTGGAATGAGAACACTTCTTGGATGCAAATGGCCTCTACCCTTCCAGCCATGAGGGCTCAGTGCTTACAAGCATTCTTGTTCCTTGTTGGCCGATTGCAGGGGTTAAGTTGATAGAACTTCCCAAAGTCCTCAGAGTACAAGAGGCTGATTTGAGGTGACTGGAGTTAGAGATGGTTGGCCTTCACCAGTCTGCCAGCATTATTGTTCTCAGGTGCTGTTGGATCGGCTCTGATCCCTAATGCCCCATGTACAAGAGGACAAAACCCTGCCTGATCCTGTGCCGTCTTCAGCCTCCTCTGTGCTTAAGGCCACTGCTGCAGTCACTGTGTCAATACAGGTCATTAAGGGTCTTCTTTTCTTCTGAACCAGTGCTTGCCAACCATGATGCTTCTCTTCAAGGACTGGTTCCTTCTGACTGTGGGATGATTTCTCACCATTCTTAAGCTTTTAAGGAGCACTCTAGATGTATTTCCTCCAAACTGATTTGTTCTTCTGGCTGTCTATACTATATTCAGTATTCTTCACCAAAACAATTGAAAGGCATCACTTTTTCTTATGTCTTTCTTATTCACCATCCAACTTTCCTATGTATGTGTAGCAATTGAAAATAGCTTGGGTCAGATAACACCTTAGTCCATAAATGACAGCCATACCATTTCTTGCTTTTCAGAGGTTTTTGGCAGCTGTAATAAAAGCAAGGACCACATGTGGAGTGTCATATCTGACCTTTAACAACTTTAGAGGTGGAAGCCATCCCCATTCATAACATCAATAACATAAAACCAATTCCCATGAAGTCAGACGTGTCCACCACACTCCCATGCTTCTTTATACTCATCTCAACACCAAACTTACTGCTTGGCTGGGTCCAGAATCCAAAGTGATTGCTCACAGACCACACAGAATCATATTGGGAAGTCAAAAGGTTATAATTCAGATTAATAACAGAATATAGTCAATATAGCTCCCAAAATGTGCCCAAAGGCACCTCAGCCTTGAGCCTCACCATGTTCCTAAGTTCTCAGTCCTGCCAATATTGACTTCTCTTCCCCAGTTGTCCAACCAGGTTCTCAGTCCTGTCACTATTGACTTTTGGCTTCCCCTTCCCCCAAAAGTCCCATCTCACATCAATTCACCAATTTTGCCATCAGGGCTGCTGTCCCAAAGTGTGTCCTACAATTTCACCATGTTGGGTGAGGTCACCTTCCTCTTCTGGTGGGGGAAGCTTCCTGTCTGAAGCTAGGGCTCTTCAATTTATTGGCCAGAGTTGCCAATCCCCTTGTAGATTGTTGAGACTGGCCAGTCTCCTGAATGGGACAACATACCACATTTGCATAGCCACGCCCCTCCACATAGTCATCTGCACTAGAAAAACCATATTGAGAGACAAACTCCACAGCAGCAAATTTTCCCAATGCAGGCCGTTGTTTGCTTTCTTGACCACTTCTGTGGGTGTTGGTTGTGGATCCGAGCAGAATTAAGTCTTTGATAACTTGTCACTCTGCTGTACTTGTCAGTCTTCCACCATGGAGAGGTAGCCTACACAGAATTTTATTAAAAACTCCAGCACACAATCTGAAACCCGAAGTCCTGGAACTTGGCCTGCCACTTACTAATACACAAGCTGAAGTACGAGAATTCCTTTTTCTGAGCTCCTCAATATTTCCACCTTTGAAATAAGAATAATGCTGACCTCCTCAGACCGTGGCTAGAGTGTTTATAAGCATGAGTTAAATGTGAGAGTGCTTTAACTACTTTTCTGGTTTTAGGGAGGAAGCATTCAGGAAAGGGTTTTTTTCTAACTCCATCCAGATCTGTGACCAGGCCCCTATTTAGTACATAAGACATGAAGGTGGGTCTCAGGGAATAGGAAGCTCATCCAGGAAGGTGAGGGCTATGGTTACACAAGGGCACGTATGTATATCAGCGTCCCCTCTTGATTTTAAATAACTTAAACCAGCCACGCTTGGCCTTCACGAAACAGAGTATTTATTTCAAGGTAATAGGCTTGTCATTGTGCAGAATTTAATACAAGTGTGCTCCCCTGGCCCCTTTGACTGATCTGTAGCATGAAGCACTCACACTCAGGAAGCCTTTTGTCTATCTTTGGGCACCAGGACTCTGTCCCTCTGTCATGGACAAACAGCTCCGTGCTCCTCAGGCCAGTTGGTGAACTTCCCTCACAATCTCAGCACATTGTGATGACACCACCTGCCCTAATACTGACTTGATTCCCAGTCGATGGTGTTCAGACTCCTGTGTTAGCGGTCCAGCCCTCGATAGTCCCTGTGGTGGGCGGAGTAGAGAGCTGAATGCTTATACTGCACTCAGGAGCCACAGTCGGGAGAGCTGGACAGTCTGCTAGGCATCTGTCGGGTTCTGTCTGGACTAGGAAAAGTGATGATGCCAGACTGCTTTTTGCTAAGATTGGTCTGGATGAGATGGTGCTGTTTTGCACCACCTGCCAGTTTTACTTTGGAGTGATCCCTGAGCATCCCGGGATCTGGTCTTCATTGCAGTTTCTCTCATACCACTATAAAATTAATTTATGCATTTCTCTTATGGCCCCTTCAGCTAGAATTTATTTACTTGAGGGACTGGCCCTAGTCCATCTTTGCTTCCCTACTCCCATTCTCTGACTTCCAGCACTGACTTGCATGGAGCTTTGTCAGTGGAAAATGGGCGGGAGGATGGGTAAGTCCCCTTACAGTGATCTCATGGGGGAGCACAGAACAGGCAACCTAGAGACCCCAGACAAGTAAATCAACACAACGAGCTACAGTGTGGTTGTATCCAGTGTCCTCACCAGACAAACTGGCTCCTCTCCTTTTGGTTGTCTGGGCTTCTTGGACAAAGTCAAGAAAAGGCCAACTTAGTAACTAGTAAAATAAGTTGCTGCTTGGGTAGAAGTTTTGATTTTCAAAACACAGAAGCTGGTCCAAGGAACATCCTGCTCCTCTCTCTAGCCCCTGCTCCCAGCATCCTTTACCCAAAGGCATCATTCAGGTTGATCACTGTTTGAAATATCGTCAAACCCTGGAAACACAGCATTGGAAGCTCTCTGGTCCTAGCTCCTCACTGGGCCAGTGAAGAAGACATAAGAGGAGAAAACATCTGTGCAATTACCCCATCGCTATGCCTTCACTGTTTGCCCTGACTTGTGGCTGCCCTTGGGCCCACCGCTGTGGTACTAGCAAAGAATACTGAATATACCATGAACAGCCAGAAGACCAAGGTATAGCCAGAATGTCCCTTAGGAGTGAGGATGGTGAGATTTCTCAAATCTCTTGGCATAGTGTTATAAGGAGGGACCGGTCCCTGGTCCCTGGTGAAGGACAAACTTCTTACTTAGTAAGATCAAGGGTCAGTGAAAAAGAAAGGAAGACTGTCTATGGATGGCTTGACACTCCAGCAAAGCCACAATGCTGGCCCAGGCCCAGGAAGTGTTTGACTGTGTTTGTATAGCGTTACTGAGAGTTAAGAGTGACTCAATAGCAACAGCTTACTTTCCCTGACTCACACCTGCTGCCCCAGACCCACCCCCCACCGCAGGCGGCTCCCTTCTGTCATGGGCTTCCTTTCTAAAGGGGGCTTGTGTAATCATAGCCAGAGGTCTCAGCTTTTGAAAAGAACCAGTATGAAACACAAGGGAGATCTTGACTTCATCTTTACATCCCCATGTGGTTATCCACTGGGATGGGTGGGAGCAGCGTCTCCAGGAGCACAGTTATCCTCACGTGCGCCCTTCGGTGCAGAAACCCAAATGCACACAAATGTGCCACCTCCTTTAAAGAAGGGGAGCAGGGGAGCCAAGGAGTGTGCTGCACAGAGGCTCCTGCTGTTACTTCTGTGTCTGTCAGAGCAGGCCGTGCTGTGGGGTCCCTCCAAGAAGGTGAGGAGAGGATGTGGAGCTTGAGCTGCCAGCCCCAGTCCCCTGAGTTCTAGCCAAGACCACTGTGGTTCCAGGCTGCTGGCGATGTACCTTCTGACTTTGCAGGTAGAGCTGTTTCCTGCTGTTGTCATTTTGCTAAAGCCTGTCCCTTTCTCTGCACCTGTAGCATCTCGGCCCTGGATTACCCTTGCTGCACCATCCAGGACCTGCCCGAGCTGACTACTGAGAGTCTGGTAAGCAAGCAAGGATTTGGTGGCCTTTGAAAGTACCAGGTGGCGAGGGCTGGTGTTTGCTCTTTGGTTGCTCCCCCCATAATGCCTGCTTTGGGAGCCTCCCAAAGGCCTTGGTAAAAGCTTGTTGGCAGGAGTTCAGAGGCAGCAGGGATTCAGGGCTGCTGATCCAGGTGGGAGAGGTTTGGGAAAGCTGGCCAGAGCATTTTGCAGAGAACAGAGGAGCAGTGCAAAACTGAGAAGGGGCTTTAGAAAGGCAATGGCACCGAGTGAGCAGAAACCCGGGCTAAGTGGCCAGACCCCCTTCAAGTCTGGCTCAGCCAGACTCTATTGTCCCCTCTCTGCTGTTCTGTGGGCCTTCACGTTCATTTCCATGGAGGTTTTAGAACTGGGGAGTAGTCTTCCCTGAGGCAAAAGTCTATATAGCCATAGAAGGGTGACCCAGAAAGGGCCGTGTCCTGAAAGCAGCTCCAGGCATATTGGCAAAGGCCTGGGAGTTGTGAATTTCATAAGATGGGCTGGCTGACAGTATGGTGAAGGCTGACGTGCTCATCCAGGGCCACCACCTCTCCTTAGACAACTGTCCACAACCTCCCCATCATCACGGTAGAATGACTTCTCTGTATCTATTTCCCCATTTGACGATGAACTTGAGGGACGAGATAGCGTCTCCATTTTCATATATCCAGAGTTGGCACTGTAATCTGCACCCTCGACGGAGATCCGTGACTACTATTAGGGGATGGCAACCATGGGGGCTGCAACCCTGTGTTCCCTCCAACTTCAATACCTGCAAGGTGTTGACTCAGAAAAGCACATTATGCAAAATAAACTGATTCCTTCTGTAGTACATATTTCAGCAGTCAGAATATGAGAATCATTTGGCCCAATTCAAAGACAAGAAACCGGAAGGTACAGTAGGTGAAGTGACTTGTCACAATCCAGGTGGCAGACCCTGAATTAGACATGCATCAAAAGAGGTATAGTGTCCTAAGATCCCAGGTCCGGTCCCTCTTTACCACGAAGAGATTCCCATCTTATTTCCATAGGATCTTGATAGGCAAAGTGCTGAGAGCATCTTCCTCCTGCAGAGAGGCGGAGTTATGTGGCTGACACCGTTCAGGAGCATGAGGTGAGGTTGCTGTTACTGTTTTCTAGAAGGAAACGTGAAGTAACTGCCAAGACCGCACAGTCAGAAGTACTGCGCTCCTCAGACATGGCAGGAGGAACACGTTTTCTCCAGAAAGTGTGACACAGCTAGCCTTACAATTCTAGTAATAGCAGCGTGCTTCGGAACATGTCAGTCTTTTCAGCCAGAATCTGCTCCTTGATACAGCGTGTTCTGTGCCCCGTCAGCCTCCTTGGTTCCTCCATGAGAACTGTCAGGGGCTGTGCTTCCACAGTGCATTTAGTTGACCTTTTTGGATATGAGCATAGTATTGAAATGCTTGTTATGCCTCCTGCGACTTTTGTTATTATCCAGGAGCAGGTGAAAGCGTGTATCCCTTCTGAAGCAAGAGTGGCACCTGGTGGTTCCATGTTGTAATGACAGATTTTATTGTTTCCATTTACTGGGTCAGCACATCCTGAGCCCAACCATGGGCTTCAAAACCAGCAAAGGTACTCCAGGCTTCTTTCTGGCCCCCACATTATAGATTTTCTCTAAATTAATGACTTTCATACATAGGAAAAAACCAAACGCTTATATGAGTAAAATGTATCTATTTTTTTCAATCATAGAAAATTACATAGCTCATCTAATGCTTTTTAAGTGTACAGGATTTAATAATTATATCACTCCTATAATTAGTATTGTGGGGTGAGTAGGTATATGAATGTTTCTGTGTGCGCGCGTGCACACACACACTCATATGTAGGAAGTAATTGTGTGTCTGTGTATAGAGGGGAGTTGAGTGTATGTATGTGTGTGTGTATATATTCCCCACATCACAACCTCAAAAAGCCCCCCAAGCCTTTTTGCGTTGAGTTATTTTCAATACATTGTAACCATACAAAGAACAGAATAGAACTGCCTGTGGCGTTTCTGTAGTCAGGGACCTCTCCAAACTACTGAGGAGCAGTGATAGTTAGTTAGGGATAGATAGTTAGCAGTTAGTTTGAGGACTAAAGTGCACCTGATTCAGACCATAGTCTTTTCAATCATTGGCTGTGCTTCTGAGGGCTGGGCAGTGAGTAAGGGTGTTATTGTTGTTGTTATGTGCCATCGAGTCGTTTCCGACTCATAGCGACCCTATGCACAACAGCTCTAAACCCTGCTCTATCCTGCGCCAACC